ATTGCAGTCCCTCACTTCTAAATTTGGGTTAACATTTTCTTGAGATTTGTCGTTTACCGTTAATCCTTTTGCTATTGGGGAAGGAAGTTATAAAAGGGTAAAGGGGATTAGAAAGGAATAGAAAGCAGTTCCAGGAGAGTAGTGATGCGGTCCCACGATGGCAGTAATGCGTCTCCGCAAAGTCACCGAGGGGATTGTTATAATAAGCAATTGTCGAATGATAATTGTTCATCGATTATTTCTCGAACTTCGTCAGTAACGACTAATAGCGATTTATTAAGGTTCTTTTAATTCTTTTTTTTATAAAATTTCTTATAAAATTTATGTGAACAAAAACCAAGTGTCGTGGCTATTATGGCTTCTTCTTCTGACAGCTCTCACCATTGCTGGTTTGGCTGCTCCAACGGCTACAAGGGTAAGACGCTTCCAAGCGGCGCAGTCTGTTGCCATTGTCGACAGTAATGGAAGCCATTCCTTTTTCCATCGTCTAAATCCATATATTGCTTATCCACCTTTACGTTCAAAATCTTTCCTGATCGTATCGGTCCAGGTCCCACCTCGCTTTCGACGTTATCCATCACATGGTTTAGCAAGTAACGAAATATGCGACAACCCTTGCGGTGAACGACGGAGAACGTGCCTTAACCGGCGTTCTATGAATATTATTTATGCAAATGATGTTTGAACGAAGGTGGATGCGATATTTTATCCGCTCGACAGATTCGTAAAATGCACCTTAGGCAAGTGTGGTCAAAGGCAGATGACTTCTTAATATATCCTGCACTCTCATTGGCCATGTCTTAGAACCATATAGCAAGATCGAACGAATCACCGCTACAAGATATTAACTTTCGTTTTTATGGTAATTTCACGACAGCTCCATAAAGGTTTCGTCAAGCGGAAGAACACAAACGCACTTCTAGCTACCGTGATCCGGGCTATAATATCGTTTTTTGCCTGGCCATTTGGTATTAGAATGGACCCAGTTTAAATCGTGCACCTCCTCAAACAGCAGTGGATTTACAAAAAAAAAGGCATTTCAACAGCTTGTTGCACATAAGGCGAAAAGGCTTTCGTTTTATTTACATTGATCCTGAGTTCGGTTATATGGTTATGCGTTCTCACTGCATTTGCTTTATTTAGCATTATTTGCATTTCATCATAATTGTCAGCAGAAATGTCTACATCATCAGCGTATTCAAGATCTTACGATGCTCTGGACTAATTTGGACATCTCTTGAGTGCTGACAAGTGGTGACCATTATCCAGTCTATCGCACAGTTCAATACTGTAGGGGAAAGGACGCAGCCTTGACCAGTTCTTATTTCCAAAGAGTCTATCAGCTCCCCATATACATAGACTTGCGACGCTGACGTGCGCTCATAAAATTCCTTTATGAGTCGAACGATCTTCTTTGAAACACCATCGCATTCCATCATTCTCCAAAGCGTCGCTTTATCAATTTAATCAAAAACAGCCGCAAATTCGATGAAACACGTGACAGTGGGTTGCAAATATCTGAAGCGATGTTCCAACACCCTTAGCGTGAATATCTGGTCAGCACAAGTGCGCCCTGGTCTGAAACCAGCTTGATTAGGGCGCATCCTGCTGTCTCGTATTTCCATAAGTTTGCTGAGTAAAGAGGAAGCAAAAATTTTCGCTGAGACGTTTAGTAGGCTGATTTTTCGATAATTGTTGCAGTATATCCTATCACCTTTCTTAAGAATTGGGAGCAAAATTGCTTTGCTCCAATCATCTGGTAATATTTCTTTTTCCCAAACTAGAGAATGCATTTGTTGATGCGTTTTGAAAGGATCTTGATGGATGCTATTTTCTGCGAGTTGTCAGTTTTATGTGGATCTCGAACCATAACATGGTCAGATCCATGAAGATTTCCCATTTCAGTGCCACGATATGAACGACTATCTATTACGGAACTCTTCCAACGGCGACTGATTAAGATATAATCATTCTGGTTGAAATGGAGTTCCACGCGACTAGATGTTTTCTATGAAGCGAGTATTAGTAACAAAAAGTGCTCTTCAAGTGTTCATGCTCTTCGGCATAGCCAAGGTATTTCTTATTGGCGCACCGGTTTCCAATGCCATATTTGCCAATTGCCGAGGTCATCGCAGCGGCATTATGTCGTACGCCCGCATTCCAGTCTCCCCAGCTTATGACCATGTCATGTTTCGGCAAAGATTTTGTTAGCAGTTGAAATTCTGCATAGAATTTTATCTTTATCTCGGTCATCTGCCGACAAGGTGGGAGCACAGACACTGATGACCGAAATATTGCAGAACTTAAAACGGGCCTAGGCCATACAGTCGATTACCGGTTTCCACTCAATCAAAGCGGATTGGGTAAGACATGACAATCGCTACGCCATTTTGTCTCGAGTTATCCGAAGCACCACAGTGATATAGCCAGTGCCTCTGCTCCAGGATTAATAATTACTCAAGATCTGGAGTAGGGAAGATGAGCCTCTGACGAGCGGATATCCAGACGATATTTAGAAAGAGTGTGGATAGTAATCGCTTAACTTGCAACTTCTATAAGCATTCTGACGTGATACAGCTAATACCTTGCCACGCGTGCAGAGCGTTGTTCCCCTTGATAGGTTTCGAGTAATTACCCTGGTTTGCGAGCTTTTTATTTGTCATCCTTGGGATCTGCGGATTGTACCACCGGACTGGGGTTATTAAGCACATCGGGAGACGCGGATATCGCAAAAATATTTGATATCTAATCCTTTCACCATAGAGACACTTGGTGATGGAGATGGAGATATTATTAATGAAAAGTCAATTTTATTTTTTTTTAAATTTTAAAGAATTTTTTCAGTATAATATTTGCTTTTTAAATTTTTTTTCGCAAAATTTTGATGTATATTTTTCTATGCGAGTATTTGATTTTTTAATTTTTTTTCAGCATTGAAAAAAATAAAAAGTCCGTTCATTTTAATAATGTCGAAATTTATTTATTTCAACGTTCACAAGGATTTAATGTTGTCCCAAAATATAGTGGAACTTCACTTGGTTTGTTTTTCTTTTTATTTTTGTTAAAAAAACAGTAAAAATGAATTAAGCTTTAGAAGAATGTGACCAAGTGTCTAATGTGATTTTAGTAAAAGGCTAAGGTTTAACAGGTAAGCCCACATTTAAAGGTAGGTTTTTGCATTAGCATCGTTAGTTCCATTTTATTATTCATCACTTATGAGTTAAATACATTTTATCTATCATTGTCTTTGTTGGATTGTTGATGAGCTATTATCTGTCGAGTGGTTTTGTGAATGTTAATGAATATTTCTATCCATATCACAATCACATAATTTTCATTCTTTTTCTAATTTAAGAATACCTAAGTTTTATTGGAATATCTTTCGAATATGAAACTTTCTTCATGGTTAGTTTTAAAGCCAAAGCTTTTCGTTTTTGCCAGGGTTTTAGGTTATAAAGAAATAAATGAGTTTTCGAGGAATATTTTTTAATGATTGAATTGTTTCTACATTTAGAAAAAGATATTTAAAAAAGATATTAAACAAAGAAAGAAAAAAATTATAAAAAATCGCTTCTGCTTGAGTTCTTCAAATTCACTTTGATAATGTTCCATGCATTAAAAATTTCTAACTATATTGGTCGAGGTCTCGATTGGCCCTCCTCAAACTGACGAGTGTTTTTCCATGTTAATTTAGTAAATCTACTCAAATGAAAATGATAATAAGTAAGCATATGATTTTTTATCTTGTTAATGCTAAAATAAATAAATAATTTCCAAATAAAGTGCAGAATGGGAGAACAGTGGTATCATAAGTCAACGTTTACATTTTACATTATGTTATTGTGTTATATTTATGTTGTGTTATTGTGCCCATTTTAATTTAAGACAATGAAATATTTGGAATTTTTCACAGAAATTAAATAATCGTCAATCAAATAAGAGTTCATTTGATAGGAATGGTCGATAATCACCACGAAAAACAAGAAATATCAATTGAAGAGTTTGAAAAACTGATGAGAAAGAAGGTTGGTTTGGAATATTTGTATTTGTATGGTTTCTGATTTGTAATTTTTATATTTTCTTTATTGAATTATTTGTTTCATTATCAAACTATTTCAGGATGAAGATTATTTGTTTATCCTATTAATTAAACAGAAATATTTAAATGTTTACCAGAAATATATATATTTAAACAGAAATTTGTGATTTAAAATTGATAAAAATGAATGAAAATTATTATACATTCAAATATGAATTTGAATATTTTTCGTCTGATTTAATTTCAGAGGCGAAAAAGTTGTTTTCATCGACAAATTTCTCATAAGTCAAATAAATTTAAAAGGAAATATATTCTTCATAATTCTTCAAAAGAGAAGATAGAAAAAAATGAAGGTAGCAGCTACTCAGGTGAGAAATTATTTATGAAATTACTTCTGTAATCGCTTTTCATTAAGAACGGCCTCTAAGGTTTCAATTCAAATTTTTTTGTTATTAAATTATTTTATGGCAAGTTGAGGTGAACTTTTAAAAAAATAACGACATTTATCATTATCAAACTATTTCAGGATGAAGATTATTTTAATATTTTTTTCTCTAAAACCGCTTACCATTTCTGATTAGACCGGCTCTGCTGGCTTGCCTTCTTAATGAATTTGGCGTTAGAAGCGCAAGCTGCGGTACCATCCAATATTTTTGGAGGATAGTTTTTCTCCTGCCAGGAATAGAACCCCAGCGCTGCATTCCGAATTAAGAGTAACAGCCCATTGAGTCATTTTACTCCCTTATTTTAAATATAAGAGGTAATTTTATTCTAGGCTTATTTTTTGAAATTTCATTAGTACGAAAAGTATGCGATTATTGGATTTAAAATATTGAATTAAATATTATTTTTTAACGAAAATTTTATGGAGATGAAAATTTTATTTTATGAAAAATTCGGTATAAAATAAATGCAAAGATTTTCAAGATTTTTTGTCTCTAGTAATTTTCTCGTTTAGGCAATGAAAGAGATATCAAATGCTTTGAATTATCCTCGCAAATTTCGAATAACAATGTAAGAAAATTTAGTTATGTAGGACATTTTTACTATTTTATAATTTATTAGATCGTAATTAACTTCTAGTAGCGTGCATTGTTCGGTTTGGATTGCTAGACTGAGAATCTTTCGCTAGAGTGCCACTTGAGGAGAAAGATGGATCTCTTGGAGATTTCACTTTTAATGATCAGTTTGCTCCTATCAGCAATTGGATTTATGCTGTCAGTCAATATATAATTCAACCTTCAATGTTTCATGTTAATAATATCTTATTTATTTGTTTTACAGTTATGTTTCTGTGAATATATTTGATATGTTGGAAAATATTGATTTTCGCATTTTATTTTTTCGTTCACCTAAAGTCAATGAAACCATATATTTTGGCAATTTCAGGACGACGATAAAACATTTTATAATTCGCTAAAACCGTTAAGTTCAAAAATGCGTGAACGGATTTTGAAATCAGCTGGCGTTGCTCTTGATCAAGTAAATTCTTCATTTTATTTCGTTACCAGTAATATTTTTCGTTTGTTTCAAAACTTTTAAATTTGCTTTTAGTTTTTTATTTATTCGATACTTTGTTTTACCATTTATTTCATTTTTATTCTCTTTTATAAAAGTATTAGATATGAAATTCTGTTAGGATTTTTTTACCTTCTATATAAACAATCTATAAAGCATCTAATCTAATTATATATTTTCAGTCAGAGATCCTCGAAAATAATGAAATTCGTTCAAGACGAAAGAGTTGTGGCTGTAACTGTATTCAGTGTGAACCCGAAACTTGTTATTGCACACTGACAGGAATTAATTGTCAAGTAAATGTTTAGTTTTTTAGTTAAATAAATTTTAGAATTCTCAAATTAAACAACTTTTTATTAATTTTAGAATTATTATTTCCAATATGTTCTCTATGGAATTCTTTATTTTAATGTGCAAAATAGATTATTTAACGCAGTGATTTTTAGGTTGACGAGCCGCAGTTTCCTTGTTCTTGTGCTAAATCGTGTAATAATCCATATGGACGTATAGCTTTTCGATCTAGTTTAGTTCGTATACATCACCAACAAACACTGAAACGATTAAAGGCTTCTCAAAAACGTGAGGAAACGGTATCATAAATCCGTTCTTTCAATTAAATTTTTTCTCGTCATTTTTTATTTTTTTTATCATAGTCGTTCCATATTTTTGCGATTTAAATTTTTTTTTCATTTGATCTTACGTAAATTATGTTCTTTGAATATTCCTTAAATTAACGATTTCTTTTTAATTTTTAATTATAAATTTTTTTTACGCACTTATATGTATATGCCTTTCTTTTTTTTCTCGAAATAAAGATTTTTATTCTCAAATATATTTTTAGCCTGCCCGCTTCTTTTCAAATCGGAATGGAATTTCTAGACACAAAATCAGTGAAAAATCGGCGAAGCTGCAGTAAAGATCAGCCTGGTAGTTGGCATTGGCATTAACCTTATTGCTAATTATTATATAAGATGAATTTGTGAATGTTCATTTTATTGTCGGATATATTTCTATTTTTCAATGAATCGGTAAATTGGCAAATTTAATAAATAAATAAATGAAAATTTTCTTTGTTCTTTTTAAGATAACATTGGTAACTTATATAATGAAAAATGTAATGTAATCTGAAGTATGCTCGTTTTTCCATTTGCTCTTATTGGTACTTCATCAATGAAATCGTCTACTGACACCTAACCAAATCAATTTACATTCATAAGTTTTGTTATTATTTATTTTAAAATAATGAAGTAGAATGTAAGTGATGCTATATGCTCGGATTTATGACAACGAAAAATCAAAGTGTGTTTGAAAAAAATGCTAACATTTTTCAAAAGCTATATAAAATTAAATTATAGCGGATAAGAATAAAAATAATAAATATAGTGAAACGTTTAATTTCATTAAATTTACCTAACCTTAACATTTAATTCACCGTATAAACCATTTGACTATATGGATTTGTTAATGTTAATGTTATTCTTGAATAAAAACCAATGATTTTCGATTTACAGCAGTCCGGCAATGAGATGTTAATCTTTAGTGATTTCCGGCGTGGGGTAGTCGAGTGATAACTGGTTTTTGATAACTGGATATAAGGAAGTTTGCCATTAAAAAATCCAAGTCATCCCACCCATATTTCTATTGAAAAGTGACTTCCTGGCAAATTTCTGCCGTACTAATAGCTAATAGCCAAAGGAGCTATTCTGAAGAGCCACTTTCTTTTTACTTACTTTCACTTTTTCCTCAAGGCTTACTTAATTATTCGTTGAATTTGCAAATCAGTTTATTATTTTTTTAAATTTTTGATTAGATATATTAGTTGTGTACTATATTAAATATAGTACATAATGATTTTTTGATTTTGATCGCTTCATTATTCTATCTTTGGCCTAAAAAATTTTTGCTTGGTATATTAAATATTCTTATTAGTAAATCATTTTCAGTGTTTTCATTTGGCATTAGACAAATATTCATATTTTTTTTCTTTTCTTTCTTTAAGTCGTTGGCAAGTAAAATTTTTAAAATTTTTCCTCTCTTTACACAGAAAAGAAAGATAAGCAAAAGCAATAATCATTCATAATTCATAATAATTCACAAGATGAAAGATAAGTTTCGGTGATAACTTTTTGGCGATTTGGAAAAAAGTGAGGCGGAAGAAAACCAGCAGCTTTCCTTATCAAAACCGATCATCAAGATAAAATTTTATCGATATGCGAGGCAAAGGGAAAAGGGATTTTGTTGGTTATTCTATACGAATATAGCTTTTCAAAATCGTATAACAAACAGAAATAGAAAATTCAATCGTGCCATTTGGCTGAAACGAACATTAAGTAAGTACGAAACAATTTGATTCAATATTCGTACAAGTTACTCGGGGAAAATGCCCTAAGGCTATTAAGCAGTTCACCTTTAGTGAGAAACGTTTAGAGGAAGGAAATTTGCAAAGGCCGTTTCTGATTCTTTTATATGCAATTTTTCGCAATCGGATCAGATTTAACTGGTCCGCCGTTATTTTCTATCTTTTTGGTGCTGTCCTTCATAAGGCTTCGTATTATTAAGGAAACAGATATTTGGAAGATAGATCAATTGTTTAAGATTTTAACCGCTCAGCAAGCTCGCAAAATGTGCCTTAAAAATGGTTAATTTCCCAATTTTTCGACCCATTTTTATTCGAATGGTACGGTAATAGATGCAATAGCAATCAGATTATCGATATTATCAACTGTGCATAGCTGTTATCTGCTATAATTCTTTGTTACTACCAGCAAAAGAACTACATTATCGGCGTTTTCAAAATCCACGGCACGAGATTGCAAGCCCGACAAGAGACAACTGCAGTCCCACCTGTTGCATATTTCGAAAGCATAGCAGGAGAAAAAGCAACAACTTTAGTTCATTAGGCACACATTAGTTCTGATCTGGGGATAATACTCCAGTTTTCTCCATCCTTGCAAATTCGCGGATATTAACATCGGTAGAATGTCTTCATAAGTGGGTTGTTGTTCTTCTGTGGAAAGTTGTCGCATTATAGGCTATTCAGAGCGCCATCTATTGAACTGAAGTAGCGAAAAAACCAATAAAAAAGTTACAATGTCCGAAATATTTGAAAACGGCTTTCTATAAGCTTTAGCGCACTAAATATTAAGTCAGCAAACCCTCGGCTCAATCTCCTTGGTTTATGTTTGAAAATTGGTGGTATCACCAATAATGAACTGAAGTGAATGGATCAGTTTGCCAGTAATACCAATGCCTCTTTTTTGAAAATATTAGCTGCTGGAGCTAATATTTTTCCTTAAAGAAACTTGGAAATCGTTTAGTAAATTAATTTCAGCCCTTTCCATCCAAACCTTAAGGGAAATGTTGTAAACAACCGAAAAAAATAAAGAAATAAAATAATAGTAATACAATTAGAATTGGTAAGAATTCATAAAGCTTTTCAAAATTCAAAAAAAGGAAAAACAACAAAATTTTAACAAAGCTACAAAGCTTTCTACATTATAAGCAGTTAACAATATGCAAATCGCATAAAATTGTTTTTCTTCTTTCTTCTTCTTTCTTTATTCACGTGTTAGCAACTTTGTAAAGCCATCTTATTTGCATATCAAAAAAGACAACCATGAGAAAATTTTCTTTTGAATAAAAATCAATTAATTTTTTATGTAATTTTTGATCTACCAATGTTTTGGAAGAATCACCCAGATTGGCAAAGGAGAACTTGGTCAATGTTGGATTGGTAATAATAAGAATCGCCTTCGCCTTGCTTCACACCCTTATCAACTAATCGCCTTGAAAATATTCGCTTTTACTGCGAACTTATTAAATAACTATTTTTCGTTTATTTTAAACAGTATTTTTTTGTAATAAATATTTTAATTCACGGTCGCAAGAATACATTCTTTTTCTGACAGGAATCCTAAACGCAAAAACAGTAAAAAATTGGTGAAGCAGCCATTAAGATTGATCTGCTAGTTGGATCATTCCTGTTTCTTAGTTTTTATTATTATATAAGATGAATTTGTATATGGTCCATTTTTTGACGGGTAAATTTGTACATTTTTTCACTGAATCACGAAAAAAAGTTGGCAATTTGATAAATAAACAAATAACAGAGATTTTATTATTTAATCTGTTCTTTTTAAGCCAACACCGATGGAAGACCATTCTCATTCACGTAATGAAACCCGAAGTATGCCCGTTTTTTCAGTTGTGCTTGTCGGCACTTCACCACTGAAAACTATCAAATCGTCCACTGATACCTGAAAAAATCCGTTTATACCCATAGGTTTTATTTTTTTTTTTAAACAGTTAAGCGGTAAGACATATGCTTGAATTTATAATGATAGCAATACTGAAATTAATTTCAGTTGACCTAGCCAATTCTATATTTGACTTTATCTTGAAATTAAAATTTTCTTGCAAAAAATGTTTATAGCATAGAATCCAAAATTTAGTCTTACAAAAGGTTCAAATAATAATTTCAACCTATTTCGAGTTGCATTAAGATAAAGTTTAAGCTATCACAGTATAATATTTATTATAATGGACAACGCTAAATGATATTTTTATAAATATTTTATTCTTTATCAGATTTTATTTTCTTAACTTTTTTAGGAAATCTAAATCGAAATCGTCGTTTAGGTTTCGTATAATTTTTGCGAAAATTAGACCTTAAACTATAGGAGTACCTATACGCCTTCAAAAAACTTATCGGATTTATGTATTATAATTTTAAATAATTTTAAATAAGTGATAATAAATGGCCTAGGTTAAATAATAGTTTTATAGTTTTTTTTTGTAGTAGTTTAATAAAATGGCTACAAACCGATAAGTGGCGAACTCCTCTTTCTGGTGTTTTACGGTAATTATAAATAACTATTTGCGAGACAAAAGTTGGAATATCAAAGACCACGAAAATTCTCGCACAGTGATTTGGTAACATTGGTGTGAGCCATATGTTTGACATACTAAATCGGCTATTTAAAAAAGATTCAAGAAGGGAAATAGCTATAAACACAACAATAACATAAGAAATAAAGCAAAAATTGCTATTTGCCTCAATGGGTTGAAGATTGAGGGTTTGTGATAAACAATGTCATAGATAATTCTGCAATTTATTTTGCAAATTATAATGCCACCAAAATTACCAAAATTATTGTTAAAATTGATAGAAATTTTTCAACTAGCTAATGGCACGCTATCTCTCTCCCTTAGTTTCAATCCATTGACTCTAGCATATTGAAACGGAAATCATAAAATTTCTTGAACCAGTGGAAACAAGCAAATTTTAAAAAATATTAATTTCAAACAATGAAAAATGGTCAAAGGTGTAACTCTGATTTTGAGGTATTTCGACCTATGACAAATTTTTAGAAATGTCACCTATCTGTGTCATTTTCGCCATTGATAAGGTTTTCACTTGTTCTCGGATCTGCGTTTACTCCAGGAAGGACGTTGACGCTCTCTGGAAATGCTGCCAGATCTGAAGATTCTAACTTTTGTTATTTCACAAAACTTTAAAAACATTTTCAAATGATAAGACTGACTGTGTGCACGCAGCGGAATAAGCGAATCAAGGTGGCTATAGAATTCAATTCCATTTAAACCAATGTAGAATTCGTCACCCCATGTCGAATATAGCTGTAGTTGATATATAACTAAAATGCAAAGAACGTTTTAGTATTAGTGAGAGCGAATTTTTCAGAACAAATTTCCAGAAAAATGTTGCCATTTTTGACTATTTTTGACCTTAAATACCTTAAATAATAAGAAAAAATTACATCCGCTAAGCGAACTTGTATTTGGTCGAGGTAAAGGACGAAATAAACAGTCACAATTATCGAAAAATATGTCCTGAACGAAATCGAATAAGACATATCCTGAAATAATCAAGAGAGTCGAAGAATCTCTTATAGATACAATAGGTGCTGATGAGTGACTTCGCTCATTTATTTCGTGGCCAAAAAATCTCTTTTAAAATCTATAAGGTTCAACTCCCATGAACTTTTATCATTTAGGAAACGAGAACGAACTCTGGAAATAGCACCAAAATATTCACCTGGCGCTTTTCTTAATAATATTAAAGAATCAAGTGCTTTTCCGTTAAGATATATTTTAGCCAAGCGTACACCAGCGTACGACATTTCTGGTGAAGCATTGTAATTCCATATACTAACACCTGAAAGTTTATAGTGTATATGGGAATTTAAAAGATTATAATTATTGACTAAAAGAATATTTTTAAAGCATAGCACTAAATTATTTAAAAGAATTTTTACCTATGATCTGAAGTGGTTCCGGAAAAGTGATTGTGATACATGGAGGAGGTAGGTCTGGAGTGTGTGGAACCAACCACATATCATCTCGATCTCCCGTTAAATTCCTCCCATTCAGTAATCTAGAAATGATATCGGCAAAGTAATAAATTTAAAAGTTGAACAAATTTTTTAAATTATAAAAAAATTTTCACATAAAAAGTAGAGTGGTGTATCACATAAAAAAATAAGTAAAATAAAAAAAGTATTGGTTTGGAAATCGATTCGCAGTCTATTAGAGTATTCCTTAATTTTCAGGTAAATACACCACTCCCAGAGCATTGTACCATCTCCCTACAGAATGTTATAATCGAAAACTAATGGTTCCACAGAGCTTAATAAGCAATTGATAATTTATTTAACAATATATGAAAAGAATTGCATGTTCCCATCATCTAAAATATTCGCAAAGAATTTTAGAAATGAAAAGTGAAAGAGACCAACTTTTGAGCTGTTTGTAAACCAGTTGATGCAGTAGCCAAGCAATGTTTGATATCGAGGACTGTGGTCCTAGAGCCAAGAAATTGAAGTCCAGTTAAGCCAATGCAATCAGGTGCTCCCCAGTTTTCATAAAGCTCCATTTGAAATACTGAATACATCTTTTACAACTAAATTTTTCGCTAGTTTTACTACTTTCAATAATTTAATACTTTAGAAATTGAATAAAGAAAAATATTTAGAGAATCGATTATTTAAGAAATTTTGTTAGAGAATATCTAATCCAGGTTTGCGAATTGCTAGTGTGAATGGTACTTAGCAGATTCACCATTTGTTTTCGCAATCTCAGATGCTCGCTCCTTATCTGGCAGTAAAGTAATTTTTCCACTATTATCAATATAATCCAAGTTTTCGTTTGAAGTTGATTTTTCTTCTTCTTGGCGGTCTCCCGTAGTCGGTCGACGAGAGAGCATAAATGAATTCTCAGATGAATTCATTTCATCTTAAATAATATACTAATTGCAGTTTATCAGAATAAACTTTGTTGAGGATGCTGGGGAATCGGGAAAATATAAGTAGGTCGCTATTAATTCATTTTTTTGATGGCAAATTTACTGTTGTTAGAGATATTCGAAGCCTATCGCCAATGTTCGAGACGATATCTCTGCCCTGTCCTGTATTGTAAATGTGCTTATATAATACAAAATAAGATGAAAACCTGGATTTTTTGAGCTGATAGAAAGTAATCCAAATTTATCCAAATTTAGATTATCCATAATAAATTCCTCACCAGCAAAACAAATATCATTATTTGCAATATTTTCAAGAATTTCTTCATCAGTTGTAAAAAGGATTGTCTGAAGTTAATTGATAATCAATAGTTCAACTGATAACTGATAAATTCGCTTAAATCATTAATTCATTTATAAATATATAATAAATCATTGTCGAAATATAAATTCTTGCAAGAGGATTTTGATTTTTTGCGTTATTTTTGGAGGTTATCTTTAAGAAATTAATAAATTTCAATTAATTCAAGCTTTTTTAAATTCATTTTTTTCCAAAAACTGCTTTTTTTGCCCGTATTTATCTTAATACGTGAAAATTTATTTGAAAAATGAAACCCGCTAAAAAATGGAATAATTACATCGCCAAGTGGATATTCGCCAGATTCGTTGGTATACGCACAAGAAATCTCTCCTCGAAATATTGTTTGGTTATCGAAATCAATGCGCAAATGTCGAACGCCACGTAATGAATGGACTCGACATTCACTATAGTTCTTTAAAATTTTCTTATATTAGCTATGATAAAAGTTTTTATCAGAATTACGATTATCAAGCTCGAATTTACTATTTCTCATTAAAATATTTCCATGTTTTTAATTTTCCAGCTAGTGGTTAGAAATTTTCGTCATCAATCGATTAAATTAATTCAGAAATAATGAAATTTATCAATTTTGCTGAGTAAACCAGCGTAATGAATGAACACTAAAGTGGTTTATAGGAGTATTTCTAAAGAAAAACTTGAAAAAAAAACATGAAAATAAACTGAATAAACCCATATTCTTATCATTGCGAGTCGTTCAATTGTTTTCAGTTGAATCTTTATTCGAACTTCATCTTTATCCAATATATCATACCTTTAAAATGAAATCTTATGTGATAAAAATTTGATGTAATAATATGATAATAATATGTGATAGTGAAATAGTGAAATTAATCAAATAAAGGAATGGCTCACTGCTCTTGTTTCGAAGCGCCGATGCTCTATCTCCAATAGGAGTAAACCAGTCTTTTAAAAATGCTGACCTATACTTCTATTCAACATTTGCTTCGCTGATAAAATTTATCGGGTTCGACAAATTAGTGGAGTGAGCCTAACCAGAAATGATGGCCGCTCTTAGAAAAAGAAAAAAAATTCAGGTTGAAAATAAATTCTATGAAAACCGTTATCATCTAATAATCACATTATTTAATTTTCATTAATCGTATTTTTAATATTTACTTTTTATTTACTTTTTTTAACGATTCGCCAGTTTCACCAAATTTTCACCAAAATAGATAAATCATTTAGGCAATTCAAATCCAAAAGAATGAAAAAAAAAGTAAAAATGGAAAAATTGAAATAGATGGAGAGAAAGACAAAAAAATAAAAATAAGCGAAAAATAAAAACATTTTCATAATCTGTGGCTTAGTAGCAAGATAGTTGCCACTGATAATAGAAAATGGCTCGAGTCCGGACCGAGCCGCCCACTTCGCGTGGCAATATCGCCAAATAGTCAAAAAAGATACTCAGGCTAAGTGGGTTATTACCCAGTTGCTGAAGTCTTGTGCACGGAAAAATAAAACAGTCAATCAAAAAACGATGATGCTGTCGACTCACCATCGCCAAATGTCTCTTTGGCGAAATTCGTCTGGTCCTGCAGAACAGTGGAGCGAGCTTAACCAGCAATGATGAACAGTTTTAGAAGAAAATCTTCATTTCTATTTTATCTTTTGAATACTTTAAAAATTATTGTTTTTGAAGAAATCATTAACAATTTTCGTTGCAAAATAATAAAATAATGGTAATTCCGTAACCGTTGGCTAATATATACGTTGGGTAATATTTTTTGGAAATAATTTATAGCAACCACGGTTTTTTACGGATATCGTTTTAAACCCAAATGCATATCATAATTTGCAATTATAAAAGCCCATTACGAAATTGCTATCTTAAATTATAGTTGTAATTGTAGGCTGCAAATAGGATAGCAAGAAAAGAAAAATTGATAAGAGTAGTAGTAGTTTATAGAACTACGGGCAAAATGAAAAAGTATTAATGGAGGACAAGGATTTAAAGGATTTAAAGAGGGAATTAAAAGTCTCGACGGGTTTTGAGAATCTTAAGAGAATGATTAGCATAATTTGTACAATTAAGAAAATACTAGCGTGATTGCCTTGCGGCCCATTTTTTCCATGCAGATTGAGAAATGATAAAGATTATGAAGTGACTTGAGGTAACACAAGCACTTATAACATAAGGAAAACTATTAAAGAAATATTTGAAGGGTTATTAAGGAAGAATAGGATGGATCGGTCTTTCCTAGATACATTAATACTTTAATTTCAACAGTATTATCAGACAGGATGGGAAAAAAGGTGAACATACGCCAAGGTAATTCGAATTCATCTCTCAGTTCATCAAATCAACGAGCGTCTTCGAAGCTAAGCATTCTCAACTTTATAGGAGCATTATACAGTACTTAAAAAACTGCTTACGATAATCTCGTTATTGCTCAAAAAACTGCAAAAAATAATTAAAAAAATCACCTAGCTGACCACATTCTCAGAGGATCGGTGCATAAAAAATGACCAGCATACAGGATGTTTTCAAGATCTCCAATAGTTTCAGTTGCATTCGTCTCGATCTACAAAAATCAGGTGAAATCCTCTAGTAGATTAAATAAATTAATTAACCGCATTTATTATCAATTCGAAATGTCTAAAAAAAGGAAATCAATAAAGGAAATTAAGGAAGAAGATTAATAAAAAAATTAATAATAGTTTGTAAATATTTCTGAAAAAAAGAAAAAATTTTGGCTATTACTTACAGACTGAAAATCAGGACGTTCACCATTTGCATTGAATAATTCAATAGTGTTGATGCCGACAAAATTAGGATCACCCCATGAAGTCAAGAACACAAAATATAAAGTATGACCTGATGGTAATTCTGGTATCGCAAAATTGTTCCTTAATTATTTGAAATATTTGTTCATGCGCGCAAGTGTTGATTAAGATCTGATGTTGAAGAGATCCGTAAAATTCTATACTCCATATGGAGTCCCAATGACTGCTAAACCACAACATTGGCTATTAGGCCAAGGAATTATGAAAAAAAAAAATTTTAGAGAAATAAAAACCAAAAGAATAAATTCACAGTTTTCCAAAAAACAATTCAAAATTCATTGTCCAACCGTAAGCAATATGTCAGTGGCTCAATAAAGGCAAGCTATCGGGAATCAAGGTTTGGGTTCGAATCAGCCGAGGCACCACTCTTCATCGGGGGGCCTTGTCTCCTAAATATCAAAAACAAAGGGAGAGTAGAATGGCTTAGTGGGTTTTTGCTAAATTGGGAGCACGGGTGTTGAGATGTCCGAAAATCTAGAATGTTGGTTCATTTGTGCTTCTATCTCCAAGGAACTCTCTACTTGACCAGTCCGATAAACTAACGGAGGAAGTCTAACCAGAATGCTCTTCAAAAAAAAAGAAATATGAAAACTTGAATGAACTGAGCAAATAGATGATTAAATATTTGTAAAATATACATGGAACTGGATTCACAGCATTCCGTAATTTGTTCGACAAATGTTTGACAATCATTCGGCATCACTTCCACGTTTTCTAAAGAAAATATTTGAAGTCTACAAAATGCAAAAATGATAGGAAAATAATTAAGTTGAAAAGCCGTGTCGTTTAAGTTATTAAATAATAAAATAATTAAAAAATCCATTAAAAGAATCGATCAAATTTGATTATAAAATGAGCGTTAATCGTTTCGATTTGCTTCGAACCGACTAAGCAAGTTTTCACTCGATGTTTGAAGCACAGTTGGTTTGCCAACTTCACTCGGATTTTTGAAAGATAAATCTGCGAGAGAAGAAACTCTGACGTCGGGGAACTGCGAAATAAGACCAACGTGGAACCATCTAACTTGCGAAATTTGAGAAATAAATGAGTAAATATATGAAAAAAAGATGATCTTAAACAAATAAAATAGAAATAAAGCGCTTAGAAACCCATAAAATTTGTTGTCTTTTAATATTCGATGAGAGATTTGATGACAAACTTTTAAGTAACCATAGTGACACGTCTGTCACATTGACGCATCATGAAAAAGTTTTAAGCCTCAAATGAGATTATTCATTCTGAAAAATTCTAAAAATAGTATTAGCCAAATAATGCTCCAGTTCAGTACCTGGCGATTCAATCACCAAATGATTCTCTGGCGAAAATTTGCCTGATTCAACAAGTTTGAGGAGCGAGCAAGGAGAAAAGAATCATAAATGGTGAGCTCTCTTGGAAAAAATACCCCATTGAAAATGCTAAACATGAGTTACCGAAAAATACATCCTGAAATAATCGAAGAGACCAAATTGATTGTTATGCTCTTTTAAGTGTAAAAATATCTCTTTTTCGCTCCCTGTAGATAATATAGATCATCCTCAATTTCAAGACCTCTACCAGTGGTCTGGGAGTTTGCACAAGAACTTAGCGGGTTACTATTAGTGCGCCCTTTTGGACGGAGATCTCTGATGTTATTCCTGGAAACTGTCAGAGACATTTTTCTAATATATCACTACTTCGATATCTCATTGATTGGTCAGTATTTGCCTGTTGAATGGAGAAGTCTCATAGGATTTGGAGGGCCTAAGCCAAATGCTGAACTGATATTCATGTAGATTTCTGCAGACAGTGGCTATTTTTTTGTGCCTTTCAGTATATGCGCTTCCTTCCTGCATCTTACCATTGTGTTTTGGATAGTTTCTGAGGCTTTTTGTTCAGTCTTTGTCTTGAATACGGTGTGATATGGTGGATTCCTACTTCAATGCGCCTAATGCTTATTAATTGTTCTCTTGCTGCTATGATCGAAGCATCAGTGTTACATTTTAGTACGGCTTTTTCGAACTACTGGTAAGATTCTCAGAGTTTTTTTTGGTAGAAAATTATTGTTTAGAAAAAAATTTTGGTAAAATCCTCTCAATTAGCAATGTTTTGTATGCTATTGAATTATTATTCAATTATTCATACATACAACAATAAAAATATTTCACACATAAAAAAAATAAATAAAAATCACAGTTTTATATCAGTTTTATGGAAATAAATAATATTTATTGATAGAATAGTAAATATCGACGAGTCTCATTTGCTAGAAAGAAAGGAGCCTTCATGAAAGATATTTTGCGATTTTTTTGACTGAATATTTCTGTATGCACGATTCATGAATAAAACTGTACTCGCATAGTTTTTCGGTATATCCGTTTACTTCATAGGAGAATAAATAATAGCCGTGTCTCGAAAGTAACTATAAATAAATTAATAAAATTACTAAGTAAAAAAATATTTAGACAATCTAAGCATTTATGAAATAATCCAGTAAGCTTATAATATTTAATAGGAATTCATTTACAACATCCTTTCCGATCTTCTAAACAGCCAACCAGAGAGCTGAATGGATATAGAAATATACATGGATTTTATCCAGCTTTTACTTCTAATGATAGATTTATGCTAAATGATAGATTCTGGCCAGTGGTCAGTGGTCAGTGGAGGGAATTAAGCATGTGATGATGCTTGATCGCAAGCGAAATACCACACAAATACCTACTTTTCTAATCGCAAATATAAGATGTCAAAAATTCGGTCATACAATTATCTTGTTTGTGGCATAAATTAAAACGAGAAAAAACATCATTAATAATAGTTAATAATAATAAAAGTAACATACTTTAAGAAGGAAATATTGCTTTTTGGGAGTTCCATGGATTTCAATAAGAACTTGACAAAATATTTGATCTTTAATCAATGAAGGAATGATTTGAAATTCGGCACCTGAATATATTATTGTTCTTTAATGTTTTTTCGAAGGCATTCACCATTTCTTGATGAGGCTCCTCTGGTTTCTCGGGCTGGACGAATTTTGTCAATGGGATCGCTTGGCGATAGAAATATAGGTGTCATTACCCGGAGGATTTTTCAAAGATTTACTTCTGCGGAAAATGGTAGTATTTCAAAATAAAAACAAAAACCACTAAGCCATTTTAGTGGTTTATTAAAATTCTAGCTAATATTGCTCTTGCTATCTAGCAATTAAAAATTGCTTATCGTTTTTTTTAAAGAGCCCTCACCATTATTGGTTAGATTCGCTTCTTTTTCTTATCGCACTGGACAAATATGCCTAGAAGTTGCTTGAGGATAGAGGTACAGGTAAGCCGCCATCATCAGGAATTTTGCACAGGTTTGTTCCTGCGGGAACTAGAACCTCAGCATCGGAATTAAGCAACAACCCACTGAGTCATTCTACTCTCCTTTGTCTTTCTCCGTAGGTGACACTTTTGCCTGAGGAAGAGTGTCGGCAAATTCGAAGCGAAGCCTGAATTCTCGGTGGCGTTATTTTGCCACTGAGTAACCGACGCACCATGAGTCTCATTATCCATTATTCATTAGGAATAATGTACCTCTATTGGATCGGAGATATGCTAGAATTATTTCGATGCACCAATTACAATAACTATTGAAAAAAAATATAAAATATAAATAAATATGAACATGAAATACAACCTTCGATATCGATTTTGAAAATTTCGATTGCCGATATATTATAAAATCTCATGAGATATTGAATACTATATTTATTAAATGTCTTACGAGTAACACTATCAATCTGAGCCAATTTGAAAGTTGCATTCAGATTTTTCAGTTGGTCATATATGTTTTTGTTTTGTTTAACCTATTAAAAACGCTAATTTTTAAAGCGATTCCTCAATGCAAGGTGAAGCAAAAATAAAAAATAATAAAGGAATAATGCACAAAATTTCTGGTTAAATTCGTTCCACTGGCTGCCAGTACGATGAGAAATTTTTTCCACAGGGACAGTTGAGAAAAGAAGTACGGACAAATCACCAGTATAAACCAATTAGTGGCAGATTTACCTTTGTGGAATACTCAATCTCTTAGTTTAGGATGATAATTTGTACCAACAACTGCTCGGTTATCCTACCCCGCAATATGGGATGAAAACCATTCTCAACGAAAGCCAAAATAACAAAAACTGCGCCACTGCGAAAACTTTATTTAATTATTTAAAAGATTTTTAAAAGGAAATAAAAACGTACCTTATCGAAACAAAAGAGATTACATTGCCTTCCGCTCAACTGCCATATTTCTTTTTCAAAACTTATATCATTGTTGACACCTAACGAGAAAATGTTGCAAACTGTCGTGCCTGCTTTAAATGGATTACAAACCCATTTGCCGCCGTCTCCAACGTTTCCAACACGAACTAATACCGCACAAAATACCTGGCATTAAAACAATTTACAGGCCTAAATCTTTGCGAAGTCCGTACAGTAAGCATCGGCAAGTAAATAGATCGGCAAGTAAAAACGTGCACCAGGCATTCTATGCGACAAAAATGGGCAGAATGCGCCTCAGTAGAAAAATTTTATTACAATTCGACGAGAGTTGAAATTCTTACCTCAGGTACAGCTAACGAGTAAATTGCATCATAAGTCCGTGCGTACATTAATTTTTCTTTTCGATGTCTCACTTGTTTTGAAAAATAGTCGCACATTTTTTCAAAATTGCTTTTTTGCAATATCGAAAAACGAATTACACCAGATAGACGTTCGTCGTTGTAAAGCACTATCGTTGTGAGTAAAATCATGGAGCAAAGAAAGACAATTGAAACTGTCTTTTTATTCCCTGAGAATCGCATTTTATAAACTGAAGAAACATAGGTTTTCAAGCGCTATTTTAATTTTTTGTAGAACGCTCATTAGGATTGTTCCGTTGTCGGATCAGATAAATTTTGAAGTCGACGATAGGTGATAGAAACGCACCTGGCCCGCCAGAATTACCCGGAAAGCAAATAGGAGAAGAAAACTCCTCCAAGGCGACGAACCTTAGCATCAAGCGCTTCAAAACGGTAGCAGCAACGTGCTAAGCCACTTGTCCATAAGCCAGGATATTAAATAATAAAAAAAATAATGGTAATTTGGCGGAAAAAAAGGATACATTGCTTTTTTGATATTGAATGCCATCAGTGCTTAATGCTTAAATATGTAAATATTTACAAATGTATAAATAAATTTTTGTATTTTAACAGATGTCGATTAATTATATTTCGATTTATCAAATTATATTCATAGCCATTTCCGATGATTTTTTAGTCAAAACCGACGAAAATGGAAGTAATTGTGAGCCGATTTAAGGAGTTGAGAAATGTCCCTTTTGTTCTAAAAAACTCGGTTTAACAACCTGAATTTAGACGGTTCTCCATTTATTCTTTTATTCCTGAAGTTGTGCAGAACATTTTCAGAAGTTCTTTATAGTTGTATAATTGTTAGTTGTTTATTTATTGTTTCTTTATAGTTGTATTTTATAACGAACATAATTTTACCTCACGTGTGCCATTTATGGAATAGCACTATCATCAGTAATGCTTCGATTATGAAAGAATTCCACTCCATTCCCTACGAGTTCATATTTTGCATAACGGAACAGCAAAAGAATCGAGAAATTGGTCACTGTCACAAAAAATTGTCAATCACCTCTTACGACAAGGCACTTGCAATCAAAAAATATCGACACAACATGGTCAATTATTCATGACTTTAAAAAACCTACATTAAAGAAGAAAAACAACATGCTAACAAGAGTTAAATCTTTAATCCCCAGTATCATCTATGGTGCTTTCTAGTATCCTCCGTATATGCCCTTAACGCCCTTTGCAAGCTCCTTTTATTCTGCTTTCCAAATCCTTTCTTTAAAATCACGGTGAACCTACTGCATCACTGTTTACCTTTCCACACCTCCTCCTATTTCTCCTTTTTTCACTAACGCGCTCATTTCTGCCAATGAATTTTTGGATAAGATTGCGGATTAATTATCTGTAGGTTTTTAAATGATAACTTCGAGCTATTTGAAAACAATGAAAATTTTAAACTTAATATTTTATTAGAATCCTTAAAAAAACAAAAATGTTACAGATAATACTATTTTGAAAGAACTGAATTTGCATCTTGCATACGTTTTTTTTTCACACAGCGCTCACCATTCGCAGTTAGGAATATTCCTTGAACATTTGCCAGAGAGCCATATGGCGATAAAAGATAAAAGCACAGGTGGATCACCGTTACCATTCGTATTTTTGAAAAATATCATATTCTGCCGATACCAGAATCCAACAGCACTTGAAATAAAAGCGAAAACCCATTAAACTCATTCCATGCTATGCTATTATTCATTTAAATAGAACCTAGTAGATAAACAAGTAGTGAACTCAACGGTGCACTAAAAAGTTCAAGCTTTGTGCTTTAAAAGTTAATAATTAGTAATTATTCTCAAAAGAGAAAAAATTGGAAAACTTTAGCCAACATGCCTCTTCAGAATGAAAACTTTAGTCTAACACATTCATGTCAATCGCTTATAATGCACCAATATAATGAAAAAAAACCCATTATTTTATAGATATAAGCAATATATAAACAAATGATCAGGAACTCAAAACGCTTTTTCTCATTCATCATTAAAATAAATGATTAACAATTAAAATTTGGATAGAATAAACTTCGCAGATTTTTCACGATCTATATAGATCTAATCATGGTTATTGATGACTAATGATAATCGTGCAAATGACTGTAAATGATTGGTCCAGTTATTGGCTTGCTGAATGAATTATCAAAAATATTATCTCTGCTCTGCTCATGATTAGAAGACCCACGAACATACTTATCGCAACTGCTATTTACTTGCTCATGGTGATTACAGCTGTGATTATGATTATCACAGCACTGATTTAATTCCATATGCTCCAATGAAACACCTTTGTTTACCCGATGTGGAAGATGATATAATGGGCAAATCAATTGAATTTGTTGCAAGAAATAATCTTTTTCAATCTGAAAAAAAAAATGGATCAACGTTGACTGAGCTAGTAGTAACGAGAATTCTGCATTATTTTATAAAGTTAATCAAATTCCAAAAGAAAGTACCTGAATGCAGATTTGCGTTATACCAATAGCTTTCAGCAATTTCTGAACCTTATGTCTAATTATTTGATCATTTGTATCACTGGTTGTTTGTAGATGTATTGATACAATATTTACATCAGATTTTAGTTGCCAAAGATGAGATCGAGAAAATGATATGACACCATCAATATGAAGAATCTAAAATCTAAGAAAAAAACTTCGAAAAAAAACATACTGACGAATGTAGCAATTATTTTCAGCAAAAGAAGAGATCATTATTATTCTATTATTCTAAGCAGAATAAGGAAAATTAAAATTTAAAATTTGACAATCGCTTAAAAGAACCAAAATAATAAAATGAGATGGGCAAAATGGAAAAAAAAGTGGAACTTACATTATTTAATGTATGATCAAAATCTTCTTCCAGTTCTGGAGGTATATTCTGCATTAAAGTTGCCATCGAAGCTTTGAGAAGAGGAATTACAGAAGTTAAAATAAGCATTGATAATATAAGTGAACAAAATGGATCAACCCATTTCCAGCCAAATGATTGCATTAAAATTGTACTAATAATAACGAACACTGATCCCAATGTATCAGCCAATACATGCAAAAATACGCCTAAATATATTTTAAAAATGTAAAGTAAATTATATAGTAAAATGTAAATTATATATTATATAATTATATAAACTAATTAAAAATGAACTAAATGAATAAATATTCCAAGCACAATATTTTTTACATATAAGTTTAAGTTTCAAATTTAATTCTGTTAAATAAATAGCTCAATATTTTACATATTAACAAGGTTTAAGACAAATCAAGACAAATTAAGACTAATATTAAAACAAATCAAGACAAGGTTTTTCAAATTTAAATTGATAAATAACAAACTGACTTAGTTTAAACAATAATACCTCGCATATTTGCATTTTCTCCTCGATGTTCATAGGGTCCACTATTATGCAAATGGCTATGTCCTGAATCAGAATGTCCATGATGGCCACTGTGAGAATGGTGACGATTGTGACCATGAGAATTGCTGTTATGAGAATGACCATGACAACTTTCATATCCACTTATGTGAGAATGACTATTTCCACCAGCGTGAGTATGTGCATGTCCTCCATGAAATGCAAACATACCAAATATATTGATTATTAAGCCACAAACAGCCACAAACTGAAAAGAATAAATAAATTTAAAAAATTTTTTAGAGCACAAATGCGGCAAATTTTATTTATTTTGCTTATAGCATACAAAAGTTCTATTTCCATTTAAAAAAATTTACAAATAAATTCTCTATCATCTTCCATTAAGAAATAAAGATAATAATGGCAAACCAACCATGAGTTTTTCAGTATGAATATCGGGTGGATCATATAATCTTTCCAATGCTTCCAGGAAAATGAAGAATGCAATTACTACCAAAAATAATGCATTAATGAATCCTGCAATCATTTACTATTACTTTATTGAAAATTAAAAATTGAACAAAATGGAGTAAAAAGTTTTTAACATTAAACGTATCTGACATAGTGTAGTATATATATAAATTTTTTATCTGAAGTAGTATATGAATAAATTTTATTTTTATAATTTTTACCACTTAATACTTCAACCCTTCCATATCCATAGGAGTAATATTTTGAAGCAGGCCATCGCGACATAACCGATGCAATAAGACCCATGACCTGAATACTTTATGCAATAAATATAAATATTCTAAAATAATTATAAAACATGCATGCAATTTTATTTCCTACTGTAGTTAAGATGAAACCTAATTAAAATGTAGGAAATCAAAAAATTTAAGCATACCAAAGCAGAACAATCAAACAACATATGAAAACCATCTGATATAAGCCCAAGACTATTCGTCCAAAAACCATAGAGAAATTCAACACCACAAAACATCTGAATAAATTCATATTCTATATAATATAATTGATATTTTATATATTTTTTATGGAAAAAACATATAAAACTAAATTTCACCAAATTGAAAGAAAAATTCTCACCAAATTTGCACATAGAAACCAGAAGATTCTGCGCGAATCTGAATTGCATAGTACTTCAGCAAGCGTCTCTTTCACAAAAAGCATTATAGATCTATAAAAAAAATAATAAATTAATCTTAACATTAATTTTGATATTTTGATTACAGAAATTCATTAGCTCATAGACCTTGAAGTCTTTTGAAGGAATGCTTCACCATATGTGTAAAGAGGTAATCCAGTTTCTGACAAACCCACATAGTGTCCAGCTCGTATTCGAGGAGTATTTGATGAAGTCAATGCATAAGACGCTGAAAAGTTCCTTGCTTCTTGATATTTAGAAATTATATTTCATTAAAGTAAATATTTTCTGCTTATATTTTAAGTTTTAAGATAGAAAAAAACTAAAAAATAAAAAAAAATATATGAGCAATGAAATGCATGAACCTATAGTGAAGCAAATAAGCGTCAGAAAAACTCCTCCCGATAAGGCATGATTACCACTTTGATGAAGACTTGGAGTATACCACATCCAAGCCAAACCAAATGCGCACGCAAACATAATCATTGGACTCCAACGTGCTGCAGCCATAACTGGATCAGCGACATGCTAAAAGTAAGCACAAGAGAGCTAAAATGTAAATTTAGAGTAAATGTAAATTTCCTTTTCTTTTTCAGTAATACTGCACTGTGCATATAGTGCGATGATCAGGCAGCTGCTTCAGCTAAAATCGGGTCATTATAGAGAGATTCTATTTTTTGATAAGAGTGGAGCTATTATCAAAAATAAAATTAGGTTCCATGTTGGGGATCTTTTTAGTTTCAAATGGCCCATCTTAGTAACTAGCTAAACTAAAAATTGGTGGGTGCTATTTGAAAAATTAAAATTAAATTAATATTAATTAATATTAGCTATTAAGATTAGCTATTAATATTAATTAATATTAATATTAATTAATATTCTATATGGTTAGGCACTGGCTGTTAGCATAGTGAGAAATTTTCGCGAACGAATCCCTTCCATATAAAAATGCATGTGGATTGCCAAAAATACTTGGATTTTGTAATGAGAGGACTCTTATCTGAGGCAGAGAAGATACCTTGGTTTCCAGACGATAATCTGAGCAATAAGCAATCGATAATGTTGTTTTAAATATACTGTGTATATTATATCATAATATAATTAAAATTGAAGAATAATAAACGATCTACCTGGAAACAAATCGATTCCGCGTAGAAGTCAAAAACCATTATAATAATACCCGAAGCCAATAATAATAAACAGAACTGTGTATATGATTCAATATGAGACTGCAAAATAAAAAGTGGCGAAAACATTTTTCAAAAAATTATATGATGAAAAAACAAAAGGTTTGCAAATGAATCTGAATATTTAAAAAAAAAACAAACGCCATTAGTAATAGCTAAAACGGCCAAAGGCGTAAGAACTATGGCTGAAAAAAATAAAATAATCGAATACAATCGTTTTGGTCCACCAATTTCAACTGCTAATCGACGAAAACAAGAGTCATAAGCCATTTTCATAAATAAAGCAAATATTAGCAATAGAACACCACTCTAAATGAAATTTAGCAATTTAATTTATATGAAAAAACAAAAGAAAAATGAAAGAAAAACCTTACAAACCTTGTGATCAGAAACACCAGACCAGTGAATTGCATGATAAAATAAATGATTCAGTACACTTTGGTGACTATGAGATTTCACTAAAATTTTCGAATGTTACATAAAAAGACAGAAAGACTAATTAGAAATTTTAAAATTCTGTCTCGCAAAGTCTAAAAAATAATTTAAATGCAATAAAAATAAGATTATGCACAATGAAAAAACGTACAATGATCGCTTTCAACAGTTGTATCCCTATCCATAACTATAAGTGCCACATAACCAATGGAGAGAGCAATAAGACCACGAGTTTTCGATGGAGTACTACTACCTTTTAGAACAGTCATAATAGCAACAAGTATAACAGCTGGACTTTGTTCAAATACTAATATAGACCTATAAAATTCCACATAAAAGTTTCAAATTTATTTACTAATATTTAAATAAAGATTTTGATAAAGATTTTGCTTCACTTTAAGAAAATTCAGCATACATATACAGCAGACATATACATCAATTCAGTAGACATATATCAATGGTTAAAAAAAAAATGAACCTGAAAGGACCACAAAAGGTGATACCATAAAACCAAAGAATTTCAATGAAACAATTGAAAAAAGTTAGCTGGATGATTCGCATTAGCTGAAGAAATAATTAAAAATTTGATATAAATTAAATTTTAAAATGAAAACAAAACGTAAAACATTCATTTGAAACAATTTTAAAAAGCTTTCACACTAATAATAGGTATTATTTATTACAAATATGGATTCTTATAAATATTAATAAAAATAATTTTGGAAGGAGGATAAAATTAATATTTATAAAATGCTAATAAATGTTAAACAATAGAAGTAAAGTGGAGAACAACAAAAAAAATTACCAGTGTCCTTTTTAATGATTTCCCATGCGATAAAGGTTTTTGAACTGGAATAAGTATAGCTGATGCTCTTAAATAATACAAAGTAATTATCAGTTAAATAAAACAAAATTCCAGAAAATACTGTATTGGCCTTATTTTCATAGATAGTAAACATGGGATTTATATCATTAACCTGACAAGTAAATTTCTGGTGCTTTCCTCACTTCTAATATTTTAATATAAATTTATGTTTAAATTTATGAATTTGTAGATTTACAAACAAGAATTCTGTGAAGTATCTGAATTAAAATTGCAAAAATTAAAATGAATGTTGTCTTAAAAAACCTAATATAATCATAGATGCTTCAAATCAATAAGTACAATCTTACAAAAGTTAATGAATATGATAAAAAACTAACACGATTTTTAATAACCACAGTAAAGTAACAATATGAATTTGCTTGGCAAGCACATCAACAATAAATATGCCAAAACAACGCAATAATTTCACAGCAATTAATAAAGTGAAGTACCATGCTGATCTGAAATGACAAATTTATATTATTTCATTATTTTATTACCCAATACTTTTTTACTTCTCTTTGTTTTGCCCAAATTATAAATAATAGTTTTGTTTTTCTCAACTAATTTCCTACAAAATAAAGGCCAATAAAATGAAGAAAAAAAAGAAAAAAATAATAATACTAAAATAAACCTCGAAGATGAAGTAGGTCGAAATCCACGGTCATCTTTCTTTAAAAAGTCATGTGCTAACATAACGTTAAATGAGAAATATTTATATTATCCAATGAGTAAATAAATTAAATTAGTAATAATAAATTAACCATGTAATAATGGAATTCAAAACATTTGGCCTGAAAATAGAAATAATTCTCATAATTCTCAGTTATTAAGCAGATATTTATCAAGCCAAATGCCAAAAACTTCTTCTTCTAACAGCTTTCACCATTCTTGATCGGGCTGGCTCGGCTGGCTATAAGGGTAAGACGTCTCCACGCTACTCGGTCCGACACCATTGCTAGTAGTAGCCAATAGAAGTCATTCCTTTCTCCATTGTCTAAGTCCATATATAGCTGGTCCCCCTATACATTCAAAATCTTTCCTGGCCGTCCTTGCTTTTTACACCAACTATCACAAAGTTAGCAAGGAGCGAAATTTCATCAACTCCTGTGATGAACAATGGAGAACGTGTGCTAACCAGTGAAGGCGTCGATCTATGATAACATTATTAATACAGGTAATATTTCAGCGAAGATGAATACAAGCATGCGATTTTATCCGCTCTCAGATCGATGATCCCGTAAAATATGTCTTAGACATGAGTGGTCAAAGGCTGATAGCTTCTTAATACCTTCTACTCTCAACTGGCCATGTTAAAGGAGACGCATCCTTGATAAACACCATGAATGTTTATCTCGAAAGGGTCAATTCCCCACATACACAGGTAAGATATGCTGATAAAGTGCCTTTATGAGTCAAATAATCTCTGAGAAACTGTCACATTTCATCACTTTTCGGAACGCTTTTCTACCGAAAAAAGCTGCAAAATCAATAAAGCAAGTGATGGTGGGTTGTTAGTATTTGAAATGATTCCAGCACCTTTCTTATCGTAAATATCTGATAAGCACAACTGTAGTGTTATTTTTTTCTTCCAAACCAGAGAGTGCATTTTCTGAAGGTGAGTTATGAACAATGATGAATAAATTTGATGGTTCGGCCCGAAGACCATCTTCACAGGGAGTTTTACTGGCCTTAAGCTTATAGATTATAGATCTTCTTTTGTTGGCTGTTCGCAAATGCAAACATATGGTTCGAACAAATCAGCTATTCAGGATAACAAATGGCGCAGCTTGGTTAAGTCTGGCCTCGAAAAATTCTTTCCATCCTATAAGGCGATCCTTAATAGCCTTAACAGGCATCCCATTAATATTCCGTACCATTTCATTGATCCTTTCTCGAGTGATAGTTTCTTTGGGAAGAAGACGAAATAGTTTCCTATTATCACTTAGCCAAGCTACCGAGACTCCATTTTCAAGGCCATATCACTCCAATAGTGACTTATGTTCCGTCGTGCTACTGTCGTTTTAATTCTTCGAAGCAACCGATAGTTAGGATCTCCCGACCTAACACTCGAGCTTTGGTAGCTTTTCAGACGGTTTGACAGCTGCTTCGGACACCCAACTAGCGCGCCACTAACTTGGCTTCATTTATTCAACTATCAACAACAAAGTACGGACGAAGTGAATTATCTTCAAATCCAAGTATATTATGACAAGCCAAAAATCGCTTTATATTCCTCATTCCTCGAAATTCTTCGCGCTATTTACTCTATTTTCCTGCCAAAATCCTAATTCCCAGCTTATCTAATAACTCATCGTTATATGCCCATTATATTATGGGTAAAAAGCCGATAAACAACAGTAATAATACATATTATATTAAATATATATACCACTTTTATCATTTATGTTTTGGTTAGTTCCACTTTGCTGAAATTTCGCCAGAGAAGCTTATTTGGCGAAAGAAGTACGACAAACATTGCCCGTATTATTCAAAACATTTTTGAATAAATTGATGCAATTTTTCGAATTTCAACCTTTTTATTATTACATTTGGAAGAAGAACTGATCGTATAATATCATAGTAAATGCAATATCATGCAATTATAAATGAAAAAAAAAATAAAACATATAAAAATCAAATATGACAAAATTGTAATTATCGTAAGCAAGAATTCGTCCTAAGACCCATTTTTATGAAAAATCTTCAACATGCCATATCCATCCCCAACTCCGAATAATCAAAAGAAATCATCAAAAAGAATTTATTGTATTGAAGCTTCTTACTAATGGTCATTAAAACGTACTGCAAAAATCGGTTGGGCAGAACCACAATAGATTGCCTTGCTGATGCTGGCTACTCGTTTAACATTCCTTATTCCAGGCGTATTTTCCCAAAGCCAAGCGAGTCTAACCAATGATAGTGAGGGACTCTAAAAAAGATTGCAGATGCGTATGCGTTACTCTATTAAATATCTGTAAATAATCACTTAATCTGTCAAAAACCAACACTCGACCACTCAGAATGACCTGAGACCCTTTCAAAACTACGCCCACACATTTCTCTATTCGACTGTTCATCGATAATTCCAAAATAATGAGACTTTATTGAAAGAACTGATTCCATTTCTCGTGTTCAAAGAATGAGAATTTCATCAGACTTGCTCGAAATTTAATTTAAATTAGATTTTAATAAACAAAGCTAATTCGCAAAAAAATTTTTTTTAAAATGTTTAACTACAATGAAAATTTATTTACACACTTTCCGGGGGGGACTTATTTACTAAAAAATATTCGAAAAAAATAGGGAAGAAGGTGAACGGACGCGATACGCCCGCAGCGATAATTTCTATCTGTCCCATCACAAATAAACTTTTATTTTTTCGCGCCACTTATTGAATAAATTAATGACTCTTGAAGCACAATATTTACAAGATAAATTCGAGAATAATTGTCGGGGAGGGTTGTTGAATGATTGAGGTCGGGTAAAAGGGTGGCATCGAAGGGGAATGAATGAGTAACAGGGGAGGAATGTGAAATGAGGGATGAGCGCGGGGAGAGATGATGAGGTGAGGAGAGGGCATTAAAAATGGGAGATAAATGGAGAAGGTGGAATCTGGAGACCGCAAAGGAGGGGTATTGAGAGGAAGAGAGTGAGAGAAAGAAGAAGAAGAGGATGAAAGGAGGTTTTTTTTCTAATCTGTAGTAATATTTGAAGCAATATTGTGAAATCGCGTATTTTTATGATATGTGATAAAATGTAATGTGTAATTGTCCTGAAAGTTGTCCAAACAGAGGTTAGTCCGAGTTACTATCTTTTAGTTTGGTTCGTTCCGTTGGCTTATTGGACCAGAAATATTTTTTCCAGAAAATCGCTCGGTAACAGAAATATGGATGCGTCGCCAGCACCGTCGGAGTTTCTTGGAAGATAGATTTACTCCTGACGCAAACAGAACCCCACATTCCAAATTCCTGACCCACTAGAATTGTTTATTACTAAATTATATAAGGTAATTGTTAAAGGATGAATATAAAGAAAAGTAAACAACAACGTTCAAGTATTTCTCCATGTCGAACGTTCGATTCATCGAAACAAATTGAAGCAACGAGTGAAGAAGAATTCAAAAGTATTTTTGAAAAAGTCTCTTCTTCTTGTTTTTGTATTAGTGGTGATGGTGAAGGTAGTAATCATGGTGCTGACGGTGGTAATCGTGGCGGTGGCAGTGATGATGATCGTGGTGGTGATGGTGGTAATCTTGGCCGTGACAGATGTGATATTAATGAAGAGCTTTACGATAAAGCTTGGAAGCAGTTCGATACAGTTAGTCAGCGTTGTATACTTGAGGTTCGTTGCTTTTTTCATCACAAAGAATTTTTTTATAAAGAAAGATTTTGTTTTAAATTTATCAATGCCGTTAATAGGGAAAGAAATCAGCGTGGATTGCGTGTTCAATTTATTCATCAATGTGGCAGAGTGTGGCATCCGATGAAAATCATTTAAAATACTTCAATATACATCTTCTCAAACTCATCAAAATTTGCAATATAAGGTAAGGAATTTAATTTTTTTCTTGTGAGCTTTCACCATTTCGATTAAAAGACTGAGTTCATTGGCTTCTCGAGCTAGATAACTTTTCCCAGGTAATCACTAGGCTAAATTACAGGTGATTCGTTAGCATTACCCGGATTTTTGAGACAGATATACTCTTTTGGGGAGTGAAATCCCAGCATCAGTGTTCAGAAATAATCTACTGGGCCCTAAAAACTCCTATTCTGTTCATAAAAAACCACATTCATATCTTTGATCTTTATTTTTCTCATTTTTTTGTCGTTTTTTTTGCAATAACAGTCAATAAATAATAATTAAGAAAATACAATATACAATATGAATGACTCTATTCTATATCCAGAAGGTGACCATCTATACCAAAAAGATTTTTTTTTTAAGAGCCCTCACCATTACTGGTTAAACTCACTCCACTGGCTTGTCGCAATTGAGCAGTGTGCCAGGGAGTCCCTTGGCGATAGAAATATAGGTGAGTCGCCAGCATCACCCGGATTTTTATACAGGTTTACTCCTGCAGGGAAACGAACCTCAGCATCGGCTCTCCCAATTGAGCAACAACCCACTGAGCCATTCTACCATAAAGGTTATCAGCCTTTTAATCAATTTAACCAAACAAGCAAAAATGGTGCTTGATGATAAAAGATATAATTATTGATTAGTACATATGTATATGCTAAATAGGTTTTTTTTTAAATATTAAAGTATGCGAAAAATAATAAAGTTTAGCGATTGCACTATATTTATTATTTAATTTTCAAACATTATTAAAATGAATTAGCAAAAATTTTCTATAAATCTTATAGTTTTATCAATATGTTTTTATTCGTTTTAATTAAAATTAAAAATTTCAAGTGTTTTGGAATTTTTTGAAAAAGTCGTGAAATGGATGGATATTATAAATGCGAATCGTCGCTTACAAGAAACGATTAGCAAAGTTCAATCATCGCTTGCTGTAGTTGCCGTTGTCTTTAAGAAATTTTTACCAATATTTCGCTCGTTATTCGAAATTTCATCTTTTGACGAAAAAGGAGGAATAAATAATAAACAAATTTTTCAACTCAATTGGATTTTATTTATTGCATTAAGAAGTTAGTTTATTTCTTTTTTAAATACTTTTAGATATGGAATACGTTTATTTATTGAATACGAATAAAATTAATTTCATGTAGTAGTTATATGTTAATATGTGAAATTGGCTTCAAATACCGGCAGATCTGGTTTTCCTTCATTCCTTCATTTCCTTCATCATTTCTTGCAAAAATTATAATTTGAAACTCAAAATCTGTATCTGTCATATTTTACGAAAAAATCTGGCAAACTGAATAATTTTTCAACAAGTTTTTTTGTCAGTTTTTTTTTCCATCTCAGAATTTCGCAGTAATGCATTGACATGCCTTGCTGTACTCTTGATACTGTATTCTTGATATTCTATCCCTTTAATAATGCACAAAATCCTGCTTAACCATCAAACAGCGTCTAATTTCCTTATGTATTTTTGCCATAACTCGTAGTTAACAATGCCTTCTATTTAATCTTTATTCTTTATTCTCTTGAACTTCCGTGATAATCTATAGATAACTTTCTTAGAATCTGTGATATTTTTCCATACTTCGGAAGCCTGTTTTAATCATCATCATACTCGGCGATAATTTTTTTCTCGACAGATCAACATTTTTAAATCCAAAGCTTAGTTATACTTCTTTAGAGTCCTTTCGTTATGTTCCCTTAAATTTTTCCTGTACACCACTTTATTTTTTGTCGTAAGTCTTTCATATTACCATCTTTGATACTAATTATTACTGATTTCCAGTTGAATTTCATCTCTGAGGATTCAAAAGAAATCTTGGGTGGGATGACCAATATTAACTATATATTACATTTTGCATATTTCGTATAATTTTTCAGAACAGTTTGTTAATGAAGATCTCATGAATAATTTCCATTTATTATTGTGTTGTGTTGATTATATTTTTCATGATCTTATAAAAACTGGTAATGCGAAACTTTTGAAGCGAGATTTTGGTATTATTATTTTTATTTTTATTACTTTTTATTATTTTTAATTAATTTTTTAAACTAATAAATTCATTTCAAATTTTATATTTCATTTTTTTATGATCAAAATTTTTAGTAAAACATGTCGAAAATGATGTTTCTTCACTGGAATTTTTCTGCCACTCATTTGGTGGTGTGGTTCTTGATTCAAAACATTTTCGAGTTCATTGTTTTTTACCTCGCATGCGAAAATTGATGGCTGATGGTGTCATTTCAACGAATTCTGATTTGTCACATTTCACGACAAACATAAGCTCCAATTTGTTAGTTTTTTTGCATTCTTGGTCTTTAAAATTCTCGCTATTTTCGCTAAAATTTACATATATCAATTGAAGAATTTCAAATCTTTATAATTATATGATAAACATCGTCATTTCAGGTGCAAACTTAGTGAACTGTATGAAGAAGAGATGGGAAAAAGGGGGGAAATGGATGAGCGAATATTCATTCCTTCAGATCTGAATTCTATTTTCGATGAAGCTTTTGACGGTTTCTTTAAAACTTTATTTTTTTTTCTTGCGATTTAAAATTCGATTAAAATCGAATAGCAATGCAAAAAATTTAATCACTAATTTTTCTGTGGTATTTTAATTTTTTTTTCTTTGAAATACGCTTAAAAAGTTAAATTTGTTAAATAATAATTTAATAATTCAATAATAATAACTTTTTTCAATAATAATAATAACTAATAATAATAGTTTTATTGGCTATCATTTCTAACGTAATCAACAATTAATCATTTAGGTAGTGCGATTGAGCGATTACGAAGAACTGAATCAGATGACGGATGGGAATTTGATGCTGAACTTTTGCTACGTATGAGCACTCAAAGTTGTTTGGAGAGACTAAGTGAGCAAAGGCATCAACGTACACCACTTAGTGGGAATAGCTATATAATCGCTGGAGATCAGGTTCATTCTATTTTTTGAAACAACCAAGTTCTCCATAGTCCATTTTAACATTTTATTTACTTTTATTTTTTAAAAAAATTGGTTTTAAATCCAATTAAAGATTGTTTTCCAATTTAGTATTGTCCTGTCACACCTGTATCAGGATCATTATATAATGCAACCAAAATGGATATTTTGCTTAACGGTGGATTCAAGTTTGAAGGTAGCCACATTGAGCAAATTATGTTGCAGTGTCGTGAGAATCCAACCGCCTTCATTTCAAACTGTGGTACGCTTTTATGATTTATTTTGAAAAATTTTGAAAAATGCGAAATTTGAAAATGAATGGTTAAGATCAATTTCGTTCTTTAAAAATCAAAATTTAAGTTCGATTATTGGGTGACAAATTCGAAAACGCAGTCGCAGCTGAAAAGAAATCAAAAGGAGCTGATTTTGACTCTTCATTCACCGAAATGATTAGTTTAAGGCGCTTAAATACTGATACATTATTTTATCGATTTCTTGAAAAAATTGCTATCAGTGAAGGAGAACGAACTCATTCTTCAGATCGTTGTGATTTATCTGTGAGTTGAGTCTTTAAACTTTTATTTTTTGCTTGTCGTTTTCATGCTATGGACTCCTTAAACGGTCTTATGGCTCATTGTTCAGAATATTGTTTTCAAGTGCAAAAGCCAAATATATGCAATTAGAAAAGTACAAAATTATTGTGGAAAGGTCTGCGATTTTTTTTAATGCTTAACTCTGAAAGTCCTCTGAAATCTAGAAATGAAGTTTTCAAATTTTTCGCGTTTTTTGAATGAAGTTCGAAAGAAGTTGATTTTTATTTATGGTAGAATATCGATAAAATTTTGTTATATTGCAGAATGTGCTGAATAAACATGAATTGATAGCTTCAATTTATGCATGTGCAGTTCAATTGATTCTTTTCACATATGATAGTGAACGTGAATTTCCATGGTGTTTGGAAGTATTACGCCTCTCACCTGTACATTTCTATAAAGTAATTGAACTAGTGATTCGTGCTGACCCTGAACTTTCTCGCGAAATGGTCAAGCATCTTAATAGGGTTAATATTTTTAATTTCCAGATTTTCATATGATTTTTTTCTTAATTTCATTTTTTGCTGTTGGATGTTTTTCATATTAATTAATTCATATTATAGTCCGAGTCATTATTTTGTAGCGATTCAGCCTACTTCGATTCTCTCTGTATATTTATAGTTAATATAATGGCTAAGAATTAAAAGTGCGAGTCGTAATTGAATATTCAAATCCCAATGTTTATTATTTTTTATTATTTAATATTTGTTATCAATTTGCTATTGGTGTTATGCGTCATCCACCTCTGCAATTTACGTATATCTCATCGCTTGTCAGATTCTATAATGAATAGAATCAAAAATGAGCAGATTTAATCAAGATTTGGGTTTACATGGTCAGGAGAAATTTCATACTAGCAATGAAAAATGAGTGGTTTCAGTAGATTTCAAGTGTGCAACGGATGCTTGTAAGCGCTTATCCTTATAGCGAATGATGCAAATTAGAAAAAAAACGTGATTTTTATTATTTTTAATAATAATTATTTATATTGTTGCCATTGTTTGTTTATTTATTTTCATTACTATTAATTAATACTACTTTTATTATTCATCATCAGTGTGGTTTATATTAGTTCACTATTATTTTATATTAGTTCACTATTATTTTTCCTTATCGATGCATTCGGTTGTCTCGTTGCCTGAATCTGTATTATTTTCTGAATTTCTGAATTTCCGAAATTTAAGGAAGAGTTGGAGAAAAGAAGTTGAATAAAATTTTTAATTTTAAAAATATAACTTAATAGAGAGGGATTGATGTTCCATCGAGGTTTGATCTAGGTCGATTGTCGATTCAGTGATATAAGGTGTAAATTATTATAAGTTGCTGAATATAAAAGATTGCCTTTATTGTTTACAAATCATGAATTTTCTCCATTGTTTCTTATTGTTCGAAAATGAATTATTTGTAGGTAGAAGAGCGAATTTTGGAAGAATTGGCATGGAGTTTGGATTCTCCCTTATGGCAGGCATTAGCTCGGCGTGCAGATGGTGTACCTTCTAGTCAGTCTGTATCATTAAATACAATTGAAGGCTATAGTGCACGTCACCAAAATGCATATGGGCTTTCACGTTATAATTCGTCACCATTAAAAATTCGTAAAGGTTTACATTTTTAAAGCTTATTTCATTTAAAAAGTGAAAGACTAAATAATTTTAATAATATTCGGCAATTATAGAGGTTCTTTCTTCATCTATGTAATTTTAGCATCGAAAATTTTGTAGGCTTAGCTACGAAAAGGCGATTTGATTACGATGATGATGTCCAAGGACCAAGTCACAAGCATATTGCCGTTGAACAAGAATTCGGTGCCGCTTTAACTCCTACTACTCTTTTTTTTCGCAAAGTAATTTTTTCGTTGATTGTGGTTTCGAGTGGTTGAATTAATAAGTAACCTCTTATCAGATTTTTTAGTTGAAATTTCCATAATTTATCACGTTGAAAATTATTCACCGTATCTCTTTTAAGGCGAATTGTAAATCTTTTTATATATTGAGAAAATATTTGAAAGAGAAATTTTACAGGTTTACTATTTGGCTGCCATTAGATTGAACGATATTTGTGAACGTGTGCGTTTAGACGAAAAATCTCGTCAACGAGTGTGGACTTTATTTGAACATGTGCTAAGAACGGAAACGTCACTTATGGCTGGACGTCATTTAGATCAAAATCTTATGTGTTGTCTCTACGTTATTAGTAAAATTGGAAAGCAAGATATATCATTTCATGATATTATGTATCATTATCGTCAACAACCACAAGCTTGTTCCCGAGTTTATAGACGTGTTCTTATCGATCATAGCCCGTTAGTTTTTTTTGTTTTTTCCTTATTTGTTCGAAGCATTATCATTCCATTTTATTCTTGAAATTGAAAATTTTATTATCAAAAAATTTTTCTGCCAAGGTCGCCAACTGTGACGTCAGATGATAATACATCGCGTGATTCAGTTGGATCAAATTCTTGTGGGAAATTTCGTTCACAATCGACTTTGCCGGTTCCTGGCAATACAAGCAATGCTTCTTCTACTCCTGAACCACAGAATCATGATTATGAGGATCTCATTAAATATTATAATCGTATTTTTGTTAACAGAGTAGAATATTTTGTCAAAAAGCTGCAACCAGGATTACTGGATAATAAAGAGGTTTGCTGTTCTTTTAGCAAATAAGTGATGCTGTCAATCTTTTATCAAAAAATTTGGCAAAATTTTACAAAAATTTAGTTTGAATAAAAATTAAAAAAATGAAGAATTCAAAAAGTTACTGGAAAATTTGGATTAAAACTAGTGAAAATAATATTAAAGTAATAAAAGTAATGGTAAAAGATTCGGAGACATTAAGTGCATTTCAAACCGAATTATTGAAACACCGTAAATGAATATTGGTCTCATCTAAAGGAATGTCTCCAAAAGTTAGCCATTTCCACACTAAGATATGCTAGTAAAAAATGAGATATGCGCTAATTGGGTATCGTAAGCAACTGTCCAGTTGTCTGAAAAGACTACGAGAAGCGAGAATGCGAGAATGTCAGGAGATCTTGATATCGAATGCTTCGAAGAATTACAACAACTGCAGATCAGAAATAGCTGTTGGAACAATATGGCCTGAGAATGGAGATGGTAGCTCGAGTAGGTGATAATAGGAAATCCGCCTTCACAAAAGACTGTCAAAGCGCGAATATCAGGAAGGAATTCGATTATAATTTGATGAACGATCGGTAAAATAGTAATGATGTTCCTGTTAGGAGTATTAAGGATCGCTTCGTAAGGTGGGATTCGTTGATTCAAACTTAATCAATGCGTTGCACCATGCGTTGTCCAGGAAATTCACTCGTCAGACCATACGTTTGCAACTGCGAAAAAAGCCAATAGAAGAGGAAATAATCTGCATCATCCATAAGATTAGGGCCAATAAAACTCCCTGTGAAGATGGTCTTAGGGCCAAACTTTTCAAATGTTATACATCATTGTTTATAATTCATCTTTAGCAAATATACTTTCTGGTATGGAAGAAAGAAATAACACTAATAAAAAAGAAAAACGATAAATAAAAAAGAAATAACAACTGCGACAAAGCAATTCTGCTTCCAATTCCTAGGAACGGTGAAGGGACATACTGTGACAGTTGTCGAAGAATTAGCCTCCTAGACTTCTCTTGGGAAATTTTTGCTTCTCTACTACTAAATAGATTCATGGCAATACGAGATAGCAGAAGGTTATGCTCAGATTTATGATCAGATTTACACCTGTGCTAGAATATCGTTTCAAATATTAGCAACCCACCGTAATTTGCTTTATCGATTTTGCAGCTGTCTTCGATTCGATTGATAGAGCAGCGTTCTGGAAAGTGATGGAACATGACAGTCCCAGAGATTATTTGGCTCATGAAGACACTTTATGAATACATCTTAGCACAGGTCTATATATGTGAAAGATGGATTCTTTCGAAGTAAAAACTGGTATCTGTCAAGGATGCGTTCTTTCCTCTATAATATTCAGCTATGCGATAGACTGGATAATGGACATCGCTTGTAGACCCTAAGATTGGCTTCTGTTGTTGCCAGCGATAACATCGGACCGAATAGCTTGAAGATACCTTACCCTTATAGCCAGCGCAGCTAGCCTAACTAGTAATGGTGAGAGATGAAGAAAAAAGCAATATTAAATTGAAAATAATAAATTACAAATACTCAAATAAAATATTTATGAATCATATTTAAAAAATGCCTTAAAAATACTTTAAAAAATTAAAAAATTTCGAAGATTTTTTGCAGTGTGAGATATCTTTGTTACCCATGCCTACGATACGCTGTCATACATTATCACCTCGGCGTGTTATTACTGATCGTGTTACCGTTTTACCAATGTCGCCTTTACCTTCTTCACCAGCTCGTCCCGTTCGTTATAGTTTTAATCGAAGTCCCACCAAGGTAATTGTTTTGATAATATTTTAAGAGAAAAATTCATGAAGTGGATTTTAATATTTATTTATGTTGGGCAATTGTATGTAGCAAATAATTTTTAAAATATCATTTTCGACTTACAGTTCTTATGGTCTATTGGTTTAAGTTTTTTTGTTAAATATATATATATATTTCGCCGCAAAATTCTCGAATATTCTAAAAAATAAGGAATAAAGAATAGGAGTTTTGTTCTTTTACGAATTATCTCTTCCTTCAGCAACAGTCACCTTGTCCAGTTTTTTTGCATAGAATACTTCATTGCAAATATCAGGGAATCTCTTGTAAATAGAAAGATCTTTAGCTTTGCCCAGATTCAGCTTTTGCTGTAGCCAGAGGACTCCTGATCGTTTAACCAAAAGTTTCCGCTCGGCCATCATTTGCATAAACAAAAAAATATAAATATTTATAGTTAATTTTTTCATTTTAATTATTTTAGCCATTAATCAGTCCTGTTCCTCACAGTATCGTACGACCGGTCTCATATCAAATTGGAACTATACCTTCCGCGTACCGCTAATTATTTTTAGTTATTCGCTTAATTTTTCAGTCGGTTGTTTCAATTTTCTATTTAACTTTTGTGTTATGCTATTTCGAGGAAATTTCTCGCTTTTTTTTTATATTTCGATTATTTTGTAATATTTTGAGGTATTTTAAATATTTTGATTATTTTATCTTCAAACAGCTCCACTGATTTATTAAAACTTCAAAATTTTAAATATTCGAATTTTTCCTTCTGAATTTTGAAATATGTTAAATAATTACTTTTTATAAAAGATTGAAACTTAAATTATTTTATTAAAAATAAAAATAAACAAAAAACATTTGAGGCAAATTTTTATTCTTTTTGCATTTTTTGATTGAATAATTAATATATGCTTGTAAACTTTAAAACTTTTTATTGTATTATTATCTTTATAAATTCACTATGTACCATTAGTTCTTCACATTATAACAGTATGAACGCGAAAAAGCAGTGCTTTACTTTGCCCGATTGCTAGATAAGTGCTTTCAGCTAGAGAGCTTGGAGATAGAATTGGTTGATCATCAGTAGCCGAGCATTTTAATGGCATATGAATGAGATGAAATTTAATGTTAATTCTTGTACAGAAATTTTGATCGATAGTGGAGTAGATTATTTTGCATATCATATCAAATATGGACAACAATGATAATAGTAATAATAGTGATTGTGAAAGGGATTTTAACAGGGAATGGTGGCAATGGATGATCGTCATCATATCCACACTGGCGAAAATAATGTTCTTTATTGTGCAAAGTTGGTGGTGCTATTTGATAGACGTGATAATAGTGATGTGGTAATAATGCTGTGGTGATGGGAATGGCTGCTAGTGATAATGACCGTAATGATAATCGAAACGAATCAATCTGTTCAAACCTACTAATATGTAGTGCTGTTAAGTGCATGAATAAAACGAGTTGGTTCTTGACTGGAATTATCCTAAGGTTTCTTGGTTTTGTTGTAGAGAGTACAGTTTCATATGGGAGAGTGATAATTGGATGAGGTCGAAGGGAAATATAGTAAGAGGGGTACCATGGGAGAATAATTAGAGGTATTTAGAGAATGATCGGTATTTGAATGGGATAAATAACGATGGGCGAGGTCCTAAAAAGAAAATTTAGCGCTTGAATTTGGTTCTTTTGTAAATATTTTCTTGTAACTGCGTTTGCAGACAACTCAGAAGACAATATTTGCAAAAATAGATTCATTCCTCCATAAACTTTCATCTTTGCAGCCATCGGATGGAGTTGTGCGTGATATTGGAAGAGGACTGGTTGACTCGCTCCGCTGGCCACAAAGGTCTGCCACTTAGTTATCCGGTGCCATATTCGAAAACACTCCACCATCTAAGCCATGTGTCGCAAAGCTGCCTTATTCTGACTTCGTCTGCCGAGGTTTGACATATTGATTTCCGCTGTGATGGAAGGCGAAGAACATGGGTACAAACGTTGCTCTGTGGCGATATTGCTAAGACAAATGGTATTCGAGCGATGGTGGCGGCAATCATATGAGGTTCCGTCCATTCGGGAGACATATAAAGTGTATGTTAGACGAGCGAGCGAAGATAAATACGATTGAGTCTCCAGTCGTCGGCCATTAACGAGATGTCTGCGCGCTGGAGCCAGGAGGACGCGATTTTTTTTGGTGATGATTTTGCGGCCGATCAATGCAGAGGTTTCGTCAGACAAGATGGCGCATTAAAAGTGAAAAAGGCGCTCTTCACTGGCCTTGCGCGTTGACGTCGCATTATTTCAGTGCTTGTTCAAGCTCTAATTCATTTATTGGTGCGGAATTGCTAAAAGAGAAAAAATTTTACAGATAAATAAACTAGCATTAGTGATAAAAGTAAATGGAGGCAAAAACGTGGAAAAAAAGAATATTTCCTTATACCACATTGTTCATCTTCTGGGATAGAAACTATTAGAAGTTCCTCGCGGAATTTGTTTCCATCACGATCTGAATCTTCTCCATCATGCAGACATTTTTTGACATTTCGCCCTGAATTATATGATACGCCTTAATGGTGCAGCCAGTACTGTAAACTAATACAATTAGTAGAAAATATAATAATAGATAGCTTGGAGCGTACCTACTTCCAAGAGGCAAGCAGTGTCCACGCTATATTCGAATAAATTATGGACAATCTCCTCTCTCCTGGCTTCTGATGTCTTTAAGTGTTCTTATATTCCACACTGGCCCTTAGTTTCTCTTCTTTCCATAGAGCTTCTGATAATTATTCATTTCCTTTGACGGGTTTTGAGCAGTTTCTTTGCTGAAGAGTTCATTCTTTTCTCCTTTGTATTCTATCGCATATGAATAAAAAATTTAGCAATAGCGAAATTATTGCGCCGACTTATCTAGGAATTTATTCATGTTTTTTATCCTAGCTATTGGGTTCATTCCTGATTAATCGTAGGTTATCATTATTATTTACGATATAATTTTTTCCAGTAGCATCATCATTGGTCTATCTCCACTGGCTAAAAGAGTGAGGCTTTGCAAGCTTTCTAATCTAATACTATATTATGATAGTTCTTTCCACCATCTACAATTATTTATTATTGTAACTATATAATTGTTTTTTTTTCATCCTCTAGCAGCCTGTGCTATTGTTGGTTTGACTCGCCCCACTATAATTCATTTCTATGTCATTCTTAAAGGTAGCACTGAAACCATTTATTTTTCCATCATCATCTAAACTTGCCTATGTCCTCGCCTATGTCCAAAATTTTCCCCGATCTTGTCAGCTTGAGTCTTGTTTGATTCTCCTCGCTTTTAAAGCAATCATAGAATTCAACAGGTCGCGAATTATACTCCAATTCATGTTTTGGATGAAAAACATGGCCCGTGTAGGCTATAGTATTATGTAAATATATGAAGCTTGATGCAATTATATGATTTTCTTTGCTTGATGATGCCCTAATGACTTGGTATTTTCCATTCTCACTGAGTATATAGTAGGATCGAGCATACGGCCATATATATGCATCCTCTTATTTTTGGGGCTTATTTCGAGGCTAATGAAGCCTAAGGAATCTGGTTATAACTATTCGAGAATCTCACCTTTACCTTAGCCATTAGGTATGATTTTAGAGAGAGAATAGCACTTTTTTGGACTCTGATAATTTTATGGGTATTTGCAGTCTTTATGTCTAATATAAAACAAAGAGATTTGTAATAAGAATTTCAATATTAATGACATCTATTTAATAACTTTTGTAACTTCTTTTAATTATCAGCGATGCGATGCTATATTTTATGCTGGTACAGATAAGTAGTGTCCATAATCCAGTCTATCGCATATTTAGAAATTGTAAGAGAGGACGTAAAAGTGTTAAGTGTTAATATATACGCCAGTTCGAATATGGGCTGATCTGGACCGACAAAATGCTTTAATAAGTCTGTTTATTTTCTGTGGAATACTATCATATTGCATAACCCGAGTCCGATCCTGTTATCGTATCAAAAGCAGCGGCAGAATAAAGGTTGCCGATTTTGAAGCAGCATTTAAATATTTTTATTTAAAATTTCGTTAGCGTAACCATAAAAACCTTTACATAACCTTTGCATAAAAACCAGCTTCTCGCTATCATATTAATACGAGTTTTCTCAATAGAAAAGGTGCAAAAATTTTCCCAGAAATGTCTGGTAAATGTCCGATGTTATTACGGCACGTTCTATTATCTTGCTTGAGAGTGAAGAGTAGGATGGCTTCAGATTATTCTGGTCATATGGTATTTAGTTTTTGTTCACTACCACTGAATCGAAATATAATTTTTAAAATTGCGTTACAGGAACATTTGGTAAATTCAAAAAAGTCTGGAAAATACTGAAGACCATCTCTGGACATTTTACTGGTCTTAATATTATGTTCGAGCGAGAATGAAAAATGGTGTGAAATTCTCCACATTGTAAAACGTTTTTCGGAAAGAAACTATTTTCAGTATTTTCCAGCATTTGGTTTCTAAAATACTGGAGCGAAATTTCTTTTTTGGTGATTCTATAAAGCTGCATCAGACGCAAAAAAGCGTTTCTTAACGAGAGGTACTGAAAGAATATAGAAAGTTGTGAGAAAAGTTGAAAAAACATCGTTTCAGGAGACCTGAAAGGAGTGTTGTGGAATTTGGCATAATTTTTTTTTGTAGAAATATGTCAGCGAGTTGTCAAAAAATTGAAAAAACTTCAAAGACGTGAAGGAAGTTATGGAATTTCTGCCCCTTATGAGCAATAACTAGACTCCACGGAATATTAAAGGAAACTTGAGACGGTAATATTAAAGAATTGTAGAGGAATTTTAAGAATTTAAAGGATTTTAAGGAAGTTAGGGAGTTTGAATAAGAAATTAAGGTGAAGACAGTTAAAAATAGTATGAATAGACTGTAGAAAAAGCACTCATCGAGGGATATTGAGGGAACATAGTGCTCTATTTTGAGATGAGAGACGACGAGCATAATCTTAGAGTGCTTTGAGATTAGAGACGACGAGCATAATCGCGTTGAATAGAGGAATTTAAGGTAACATTATGACAAGAACTGACCGTTTATTTTCATCACTAAAGGTGAGAGCTAAAATGCCACAGTTCTATCTTCCAATTGACTTTTTAGTGGTGTTTTTCACTCAGTAAAATCAGGCAAACCAGCATTGGTTCAAAAGAATATAGAAATAGGAAAATTGGGAAAAAAATACATTTTAAAAGGGGGAGTACGAAGAAATTTAAGGTGTTAGTAGGCTTTTACATGCTTCAAGGTTATAAATGCAGCAGAGAGGAGGCAGAATAACGCAATGGATAATCGCTCAGATTATCTTGTTTTTATTCTACCTTCGATTTAAGTGAAAAGTGAAGTGAATTTTAAAAATCCGAATTATGGTAGCGACTCATTTATACTTCTAGTTAATTGGCGAAAATTTCTAACCATACAAGCCAAGGGCGATTAGTCTAACCAGCCATCTTCTCAACTTTATCAAAAAGGTTAATGCATTTGAAAAGCACATATTAATGCACTATTATGACAACGTACATAAATCATATTAAATTAAATTAAATTATTGGTACCATTTATCAATTGTCAGTTTTATCAGTTTTCATTATTATTTTTTCTGATATTATTATCAATTTCAATTATTTAATTATTATTCAATTATTTATTTAATTACTGAATTTTAATAGTCGTTGCTGTTAGGATTATTATTTGTAAAATTGTGCAGAAAATTTGCAAAAATTTATAATTGAATGCGGCCATGCCACTATAAGAAATGCATTGATCACTTTACGAAATCTTTTCCTAAATTTCTTTATTTTATACTTTATATAAAAAGTTTAGATGAGTAATTTATCGTTAGAAAAAGGCATAAATATATTTATTGATGGTGAAAAAATAAAATTCAATTGTTCGAATTCAGCGATTCAAGGATTTACTTCTGCTTCAAAAGATGGAAATGTCAGGAGTTCATCGAGAAAAAAAAGTTTTAATTCAAATTCGCCAAATCATTTTTTGCGAGGTTTCTTTTCGCAACTTTTATTATATAATATAGTGAATCAGTTAATAAAATAATTTAATTTGTCGAATATGCTTCTTGCTTTACTCAAATTAACTCAAATTAATTAACTCAATTAACTCAAATTGTTCGCTTGAATTTTTCTTTTTTGTTATATAATATTTTGGAATTTTTGTTTTTTTATTAAAAATCTTGCAGAACAGACAGTTTTTCCTTAGATAAATTATAAATTATTATAAACTATTCTTCTCGCTGTGAAAATCAAATTAGAATATTTTTTTAATCACCGGAAAGTTGTCAATGTGGTATTCATTTTCAAGGAAATAAGAGTAGATGCGTTGGCGGATCGAAAAAAGCTAATTGCAAAAATATTGCCAAATCTGACGAAAAAAAGGATTTATATTCTGATAAGGCTGATTGTGGAAGTCAATCAAGGAATGTAGCAAAAAAAGTAGATCTAGATAATGCACATATGATGAAGAAAATTGAAGAAACAGCTTTGAACCGCAAGGAAGAACAGGTTTTTGTTTTATTCAGTGCTTAGAAGTGTTTGATATTGATATTATATCAATTTACTTGAGTTAAAGATTCCTGAATTCTTCTGCGAGATTGAATCTCAAGATTGACAAAGGTGGTAATAATATTACATGGAGAATATAAGAAAGAATAGGAAGGGTCAGCTTGAAAATATTACGATCTAATATGTATTATGGTCGTATATTATGGTGCATTTTTTCAGAGTAATGTGGGTCAGCAAGCTGAGGAAGCAAGAGTTTTAGTTCAACAGAATTATCACAATATAATTGCTCATTTCATGAGGCGTGGATATTCTTCAATTTATGCTGAGGCAGGTGATTTATTTGTTTGCAGTAAAATATTCGCCAGTATTTGAGAGAAAAACTTAATTATCTTTATTAAATCAATTCAGTAGAAAATTTAGATGTTAGCGAGTGCTATATTGAATATTCATATTCCCGATCCAAGATTAAGCTGCATATTTCGTGCTCCATCAAAAGGCTTATCTTATTGGAAAGGGGAACTACCGCCTAGGACATATCCTAGTCCCATATTCTCTTGCAAAATTTTTGTTGGTGGAGTTCCATGGGATATTACAGAGCAGGCCTTAATAGAGGTAAGTATTGTTATGTTGATTTTATTTTTTACAGGATTTTTTTATGTTTGATATAAATTTATTTTATTGCCTAAATTTTTTATCCTACTCTTGTTCCTCGTTTTCTTTTATTTAACATATTTCGCAATATTTATTGCTAGGCTTTCGAGAAATATGGGCCTTGTAGAGTAGAATGGCCTGCTAAAGAATCTCATTATGGTCACACATCATCTCGTCGAACCAAAGTCACTGGTTATGTTTATATAATTTTTGATGGAGAATTAGCAGTTAAAAAATTATTACAAGATTGCTCGAAAGAGTTTGGTGGTGCTGGAGAATCTTATTTTAAACTTACAGCTCGTCGTGCTAATACCACAGAAATTCGACAGGTGATTGATATAATATTCGCATTAAAATTTATTTTTTTAATTTTTTGGGTTCATTTTGATTGGATTTAATTTTTTGATTTATAGTTTTAGTGAAATTTTTTTCATCGGTTATTGTCTTTCCTTCCTCTTGATCATTTAAATCTTTATTCAATTAAAATTCAGTGCAAAAATGACTTTTTATCTTTTCAGGTTCAGATAATTCCTTGGGTCATATCAGATGCATCTTATTCTTGTAATCCCAATGTAAAACCCGATCCGAAGAAAACTGTATTTGTAGGGGCTTTACATGGGATGATAACTGCTAAGGTGATACACGACTTCATGTCGTTGATAAAAATTTTAAATTTGATAAAACGATAAAACTGATAAATCATTGACGGAAAATATAATGGTAATGTGTTGAATTAATAGAGTATAAAGCATGCAGGTTCTCGCTTCTATAATGAGGGATGTGTACTGTGGTGATGTAGTGTACGTTGGTATTGACACCGATCGATACAAGTATCCTATTGGTAAATTATGTTCATCCAGCAGTTCATTTAGTGAAATTATTTTTAAAATTATTTAAATCTTTTGTAAAAAGCTTTGGATGGCAATTTTCTTTCTTAATTTTAATCGAATTTAAAGGAAAGATAAATCGTGTTAAAAGTTCACATTTTCACATTTTTCACATTTTTTCAGGTAGTGCTCGCCTAACTTTTGCATCACAAGTACCATATTTTCTTGCCATAGAATCTGGATTTTTAGAAATTAAAACCTCGAAATTTGTTAAAAAAGTTCAGATTGATCCATTTTTGGTGGATTCAAAGTGCTCACAATGCAACAATATTCATGGATCTTATTTCTGCCGTGAAAAAACTTGTTTTAAATACTACTGCTTTCAGTGTTGGGAGGTTATATTTTCAATGCTGATACCTGCTAATTAATATGTATAATTAATTTAAATTTTTCAAATTTTTTCTTGCGCCTTTACCATCAATGAAGATAATTAGACCAAATTATTTTTCACAAAAGAAAAATACTTTTTCCATATATTTTTTCGTAGAAACATTCAATATAAATTATAGATGCGTCATTCAGTCACTGGTTTATATGCTACACATAAGCCATTAGTACGTTATTCACGGCGTTCTGTGCGTACTTTCACTCATTCGGCTTTTGGTGGTTCAAGTTCGATTGCACTTAAGGCTTGTTCATTTCCTTCGTACTATCCAATTCCTTATAAACCTCATATTTTGCCATATTCAATCATGGATTCTAACTTCTGTCAAGAAAGGTAATGCTTTAATTATTTTCATCTTATTATTTCTATTTTAAATGTTTTTCCTAACAGCATATTCATATGAATACTTAAATAGATGGAGTAATTCGGAGTATGCTTATAATGTTGATGATACTTATTTATTAAAATTAGAAATTTAAATTTGTTTCAAATAAATGTAATTCGGCGTGTAACAAGAATTTAAACAGCCTTAAATGATTCCTTATTTTTTCTCATTTATCGAAGACTATTTGCTCGTCAAATAATTTAGATTTATAGATGGAATAACTGCATAAATATTTTTAATATCGAATTGGATGAAAAGTATTAATAGTTTTCGTTAATACGTTTAGATGACTATGGCTTGAAATCGTTCATAGAATTTCAATAAAACCGGAGATTTTCCACGAATGGAAGTTGCCAAATTTCTAAATCAGACGGATCTCAAATTTTTTCAGTTATTTTTTCTAACTTCTTGCAGTTTTTCTAACAATATTTGGAAAATTGGTCTTTTTTTTGTTTAACATCTTCGTTTTTGCTCTGCCGAATGATTTTGTTTGATAAATACATTTTGATTTTATTAATCCGATTTTGAATATTTGATGTTGACTGTTTCTAAAATTTTTTCAACCGTTTTTTATTTTCAAAAATATTCAGAAGATTTGCACATTAATTTAATAACGAGAATGATGAATCAGATGACGGCTTATTTTATTTAATAACTTTTAGATTTGCAGAATTACTTCGAGTTTCTACTGTAGCAAACTTTGCTTATGGGTTGCAGAAATATTCTACTTTAATTTCATATTAGATTTATATTTCTTATTGAAATTGGTTCATATATGAGTAGTAGAGTTTTGAAATAATTTGTATTTCGTTTTCTTTCATTATGTTTTTGGAAAATTTCTTAAGCTTCGTTAAGTTTGTTGATAATTTGTGATAATTTGTTGATAGTTTGCCTAAAAATATTTATTGCAAAAACTGTTTTGTTGACTTACTTAGTTTCGATTTGTTTTAACACTTTTATTCTCATTTTTCTCGTTTTAACACATTTTAACATTTTAATAACATGTAATATTTTTATTGTTGTAAAATTTTTGTCTCTATATAATTTGTATACTTTTGATATGATTTTTTTTAAACATCGTTTGTGTGAGCAACTGAATGATAAGATATTAAGAAATAAAATAAGAGAAAGCAAATAATCATTCATGTAATTATTGTATGCGTAGTCTATTAGGATAAAATCTAAGCCTCAGTTCGATTTCATGCCTGAAACTAACTGTATGCGCCATTTTGCACCATGTAAGGACATATTTAACTGATTCAATATTTAGATTAATTGGTGTTCCGTGATTTTACCATCATAAGGCTCGAAATAGCGATGTATGCATTATTTCATATGAACTATGGAACATGGCCCAATGACTTGGGTGGTATCATTACACTTTAAGGCAAATGGTAATCGGAGGAAGTTGAGTGGAATCATTTAAAATTCCGTTGGGTGGTGCATAAAATGTGCCTTAGGCAGTAATGATCAAAATTAGTGATTTAGTACCTTCCACCCCCAAGGAGCATACTTTGCAACTATATATCCGGAGCTTATGTCGGTTTTGCTGATCCTATAGCTTAATATTTCATAAGGATAAGTTTTAACTTCAGCTAAACTTTTTTCTTAACGGGATAGAATTTCAACATTTTATACACCACCCAATAGAATCTTAAATGATTCCACTCAACCTCCCTCGATCATCATTTGCTTTGGACATTCCATAAGAGTGACGAGTCAAAAATTTTTAAAATCTGGTAATCGGTGGTTAGTTTACAAAAGCAAGTAGGTGCTATATCAGGATGCTGAAGCCGGAGTTACGCTGTAATAAATGATGCTATTTTTCTATCATTTGTTTAGAATGAAAGATATTGCGTATTCATTCAAAATCCTTGACATTCTTTGATGTTACTATGGACCGATGGATTTGCGCATCTTTTAACTCCGTCATGATCCACAATCAAATTTTTCGCGTGGATCAAAAGAAGAAAGGCTTCAGCCTTGTTTCCTCACCGGTTCTTTTTTTGTATCATTTCTCCATATAAAACTGGCGCATAGTCCACTCTCATACCTAATAGCCAGTTTAATAATGAAATTCCGACTTGGGCATTGCAAGTGGAGGTATTGCCTTTCTTCTGACGATGCCTCTTTGGAATTACACTGAAATCACCTCTAAAACGAAATATTGCATCACGATATACTGTAGGAACTGTGGAAGCGAAGGAGAAGGATATCAAGGATATCAAGAAGGATAACTGTTCTCAGTTTTACACTGGGCTAACAGAGTCTTAAGTGATTACGTGCAATTCTGCTCGAATACCATTAATAACCGTACATCTGTTAGGAGGTGTTCTTAGGAATTGACGCTTGTCTCATTAAATTCCGTCAGAAGATGAAAAGGACTAATCGAGATATGGACTGATGCAGTTGAGGAGATTGAGAAAGCGATAGATATTGACTTAGAGGGTGGACAAAAGGGTGATTGGAACTGCAAGAATAGCACTCTAGAGGCTTAGATATAGCTCCGATCGAGAGGATTGGAAAAGTCGTCAGCAGATTTGAGTCAGAGCTGTTAGAACATAAGGAAGAAGAAATTTGAGATGGCCATAATGTGAATATCTTAACTGCCTCAATATTTTGAAAAAAAATGGAGAAATAAAATATGATAATGATGCCGCCAATCAATTCGTTCGTTCGTTTATCATCAAATTGATAAGGTTTCAATAGATCTTAATCAAGTATACTTGGGAAATTTTTTTCGCCATGCTAAATCCATATCCGAGTAAGCATTTTCTTCTGCTATTAGTTTATCAGTCTATCAGTCTAATCCTTCAAAGAACTGTTGCAAAGAACTGTTGAAAATAACTGTTCATCACAAAGCTTAACATGCAGTAAAATACCAAATAGTTCATACGAGTTCAATGTAAAAAAAGATGGATAACTTTGCTTGTATATGTGGTGCTCGCTATCTTACGATATCACATGCAATGATTTTGGTGTATTTAGATGCATTTCAAATGGAATTTTAGATTTTCCCACTGGAATCTTTGTAAAAAAAGATAGTGATGGATAACCATCACATTTTAAAAGAACATCAAATTCTCATTGAACTAGTTTTCATCGTATCATCGTAAGAAACGTCAAATATGTCACTGGATTACATTCAAAGCACAAGATTTCCTAACAAAAGGTTTCCTTTATCCTTTATCCTATTTCTATCGCCGATTTTATGCTCATTTCGATTCTGTAACTCAATGTGACTTTGATCTGATTTTTCTGGATTTCTGGCGTCCGTTTTCAGCATTTTTGGATTATCAGGCAATACTAGTGACTACGCGTATGAATATTAAATTCTGTATAAGCCTCACCAGATTAAAGTTTTCATAGTTAATCAATTAATTTTAATATTTTTTATTTAATTGTATTGTTTTCATCAGCCATGTTCAACGGTGCAATAGTGAATAGAATGTTAATGCAGCAAAACATAATAAGATCATGATTAATCATGAAAATTCTCTATTTTAATTTACATTAGCGATCATTATCACTTTTTTGATCACTGCAAATAAAAAGATGTTTTTTTTAAGTGTTATTTTTGATTAGTTTCGTTTCGCTAGCTTGCCGAGCAAAACAAATTTTAATACTTAGCGATTTACTTATTTACTTAGCGATAGACATATAAGTCGCAAAGCCGAGATAAATTTACTCCTGGAAGGCTGAGAGCAGAACCTCAGTGTCAAAGGTACAGCAACCCACTGAGCCATTCCACACCTAATTATTAATTAATAATGAGATAATGATTTTCTAAATTAAATATGCAGACTTTTTTATATATTCTTTTCCATGGGCACTGATAAATGATAAATTTTCTTCGTATAATTTATCTCTATATGATTTTATAAATGGTTTTAAAAAATAGCATTGCCAGAAAAAAATTTGATGAAAGAAAGATAGCTTTTTATTAGCATATTAGATGTTGAATAATTAATAAAAACACTATGAAAGAAAAGAATTTTTTATATAATACAAAATCCATAGCGACAGATAGAATTTGACTGGATTTTTAAATGTACAAATCGGTTATCACTTGTCATCAAATCAAAAAACCGATAATAAGGCCGAGAAAATTTTTTGCTTTGATAACAGAAGATAAACAAATTCCATAAAAAAATTTCTCGATAGTTTATTTATATCTATTTCGCGATCCTTATCGATGAATAAAAATTTTTTTGAAATTTTATCATTTTTTCGAAAAAAAATATTTTTGCAAATTTTTAAAATTTTCTTTCCTCAATCTTATTTTCAATTAATTGAAAATTTTGATAGCAATGAATGATACTCCATTTACGATAATTTTCCTTCTACGAAAAATCCATCATCTAAAGACAAATAGGATTATCGCCGATTGTTACCGTTCCGGTGCAATACCGGTTATTACAATTTGCCATTTATCTTTTCCGATATGGACTATAAACTTGACCTTTTATGTATTTCGTTTTCTTAGATATTATTGAATAAAGCGATTATAATTTTGCCAAATTCTTATATAAAATTTAGGTTAATGCTTATAAATGCTTTAATTTGCACAGAATTTCAAATTAATTAATTGAGGAGCCTATAAGTGTTATGGTTGAAAATTATTTGCAATTAGGCTGATGCTAATGATATGATAAGTTGGACAATAGCTAACGGCCAGCTTTATTCGACTGCTTCTAGTGTGAGGAATAGATCGATCTTTTTTTTCAATCTTTTTGAATCGAGGTGGACTTTAAAATAAAAATATTTATAGCGACTTTCAATAAGTTTTTATGAATATTCTAATCTGCTTTTTGAAATACTTTACGAAATTTTTATAATTTTGCAATGAGGGTTTTTGTTTTGAAAGTGTCTTAAAAATAAATGAACTTTAAGATAGCATATTTATAATTTTATTCGAAACAGTGAGTGATTACTAATAAATAACCATTGCT